GTTCCAGCTCAGATGATGTCAGAAGAGGAGCTACAGCAGAATTATCATGCACTGTTACAAGCGAAATCCCATATACAGTAAATGGTTTAAAGATAAACAGATTATAACAGGATACCCTGACGAAAACAAGGTTTACAAGTAAGCATATAATCATTAAGTACCGGCAGGTAATACGTCCGAAAGAAATTATAATGAAAAGGAAATGTATTTTCCGCACCTTTAGTGCAAAAGCCTCAATGAATTTAATTTACAGAACATTTTAATGACTTTGTTATGGCATATACCATTTAGTTTAGGAATGGATATTAATTAAATAGATTGATTTACAATGTGATCGAATGAAAATATTTCAAGGACTAAATATTAACTGTTTTCTATCCGAATTCGCAGTGAAATGGGTCCTGAAGGAAGGACTAAATATTCAGAAAAGAATAAGGTACAAAGAGCCTAAAAATCAAAACTACCATAAGAAGGAATATACTGTCATTCAGTATCGTTACTGACATAGCCAGTTAGATTTTTTAACTAACGAACAAACTACGTTTCTGCTTCAGATAAAGAAACATAAATCGTCATTTGAGTAACTTCTAGGATGACTTCTAACGCCCCTCAGTTACATCACATACAAATGGGTGTATATTAAATAATTCCAACCGAGATGTGTCTGTTCGATAGACTTTGTGCGACTCGGTCTCCTTACTAAACTTGAAAGGAAGACAGGCACCATATTTCAGATTGATTTGACTTTGTTAGCAACCTGATCTGCTTTTACTTGGTATGTATAATAAACTTCAACTTTGGGTTATGCAGATGTCTTCTTAGCAGGAAGAAGCGTGTGAAAAGTTTCTGAATAAACGTTTATGCATAGTGAAATGCTGACTATTTAAGATTATGGTAGGTGTAAATACCATGATGGTTTTCAAAGGCACCCCGACATTAAATACCCCAAAGATAAATGCCTGCTTGTCATACTATGGTACACATTATGCCTATGCATTTTAAATGATAAGAAACAATTTATCCAGTAAACATTCGAGCAGTTGTGATTCAAAAGTTAAGAGTTCGTGTGTAACAATAATGATGGTACATAAATATTGTAAGTCTCAACAATAAGAAAGCAAAGAGGAGGCATCAGTGTATATTTGTTAGTGAACCTAAAGTAGCACGTCAAGAAAGTAGGAGATGTAGCCTGTTTAACTGAAAACTGCCCTACGTGGCTATGGTTACTGTACTTTAGTTTGTTGTTGCAGTTTCCTAACTTTCTTGCGAATGATGTGCAATCAGCTTTTACATTCCCATGATCTTACATTTGATTCTACTAAGATATTCTTTCTTGGAAAACTATTCTTCATGAATAAAGAAACAAGTCTAGTGATGTAAAGTGATTCCCAGTTGTCATTTTATAGAATGTTCTCCAAAATCTCGACGATATAAAAAGATGAAACATCTGAATTGGTCACCAGTGGGTGATCGATATAACTGTATAGTCTTCAGTTTCTGTAAGCTGCGACACAGCATTAGCATATAGAGTATTTTGTTGTTGTATCTGAAGCCGATCCGAAGGAAGCTTCGAGTTGAGGTCTCATACCAACCAAATAATGCACCTGGTATTATCAGTCAGTTGTCTCATCCTGATTATAAATCATTTACGTCAGCTTAAATAAACACGTCATAATTTTGATATTTCTTAATGAACTGGAAAAATTAGGGTTTCACTGTTTCATGCTAATGGATTTATCAATGTCAAACGAGAATTCCCAGTATGGTAGCTCGATTAAAGTTTTTCTGCACAGATGATTCTGTGTAAAGTGATTGAAAAGTGATAACCAACACGTGTTATTTTAGGTGTGATATGTGTGTTTGAATTAAATATTTAAATTCGTATGTGCTTGTACGGTTATAGACTTTATGTGCTAATTATATAGGTTTATTAGGGTTCATTGGAACCAGGTCAAGTTATTTGAAGTGATGGCAAAGATTTATAGTTCAGGATAAAGATAAGTATAGTTCGGTGTTCTTTGAGCTTTAGTTTTTTGTCGTGAACATTTCATCACCAGGGTCGGTGATATTCTCAGCGCTAACTTCCTTACGAAATACAAAACTTCAAAGAACACCGAACCCCTATCAGATCAAGTTATGCCATATATCCTCATTCCAGTTTTGACAATTCCATTGCCAATTTATGTGAATTAACTGTGATATGAAACATTCCTTTTAATTTTTGCAATTCTTTTGAGCGGTTTCTGAGTCTAGCTGTTGGTTTTCAGGAATTTATTGATTTGAAAATTCCTTTCAAGTTTCCGTATCATCAAAGTCTACATCATAACTTAATATTGAGGGGTAATGAGCTACAGTTAAAGATTAGAAAAAAGCTTATTAAGTTGTAAATAAAATAATCATAACAATCGCTTCACTCCAAACAACATGTGGTACACTATGCAATTCTCAGCATGTAATAGTTCAATAAATTTATTCCCTGTACAATATCTTTCAAAGAAAAAATCACTTCCTCTGAATAATGTTACTGATAACACTAATAAAAACCATTATATGAAATGGGCACCTGGTATTACATTAGCGCCTGGTTTGGATTGGCGAATGAGTAGAAAATCGAGAGTAACTTTTGTCGTGGTAGTTTATTCAGCCAGAACCAAAATCTACAATTTGACATAGTTATCCAGGGAATAGTAATAAAAGTGTATTTTTGTACGTTTATAAGCCCATCTGTTACGGGGTACCGTTTTTTTTTGTTAGCTGAAAAAACACCAGTTTGAAACCAGTTTAAAAGTGTGCAAGAGTACACGATGCGTTTAAAGAAAATATTTAAAACATTAAAACAAATTGAAAGGAACGAATTTGATGAAATATATTAGATGGAAAGTCTTCGGTAGCCAAAGTCTAAGTAGTTGATTGATAGCCTTTTGGTATTCATTTCTTTTAACCTCAGTTTCCCAGTTTGTCCTATACGTACAATACAGCAGCCTGAGCCTTTTATTTGTAAATTAAATGTAGAATTATCCATAATCGAGTTATCATTGTATAAGCTTTGGTATTCAGAATTTCGGTTTACCATTACTTTGAATACGCTTTGATTACTGAATAACGAAACGTCTTTCAACAAAAATCTTGTTTGTTTTTCATTTATTGGTAGATACAAATATCACAATAGTGAATATCACTTACCAGTGTCCAAATTTTTTCCAGCCATCAAATATAAACTTGGTTTCAATATCCACCTCATTATTTGAGTTAACTGTCTCATAAAATGACCTGTTGCCATAAGTTTTAAAGAGTTATGTTTCACACGGAAAATCAATGGCATATGGAGATGCAACTTTCACTTACCTTTCATTTCATTTCAGTTTCCCAACTAGTGTTCTATACACCATTACTGATGCAAACGAAGAATCTCAAGGAATTTATACCGTTGAAGTAATACCTACAATTGCTGATGGTGAGAAAAAAGTTGAAGGCCAGTATCAAGATGACGTATCTGTTATTATATTACGTAAGTTTGGGTTAGTACTAATATAACTATGCGATAGACTAAATACTGAAAAGCAAAACTTTAAAATCTTTGTGTATTATCCAAATGGCTAATGGGTATACATCAAAAGAGGCGAAAATAGGCCTAAAGAGTTATGAGTCATGTAAAACAGTCAACGTAATCATCAGGCTGAGTATTGGAAAGTATCTTTCCAGTCAATAGCCCATCATTTACAGGAAAACGTTACTGAGTGATGAACAATAGTATGATTTAGTTCCAACCATTGATCTAAGTTTATCGATTGAGAAAATCAGTACACATACTAGCTTGACTGATAAAGCATACTGCGCCGGGAACTACTGCGTTATATCCCGTAGGCGTAAACGTGGTCTATAATGATCCAAATAGCTTGTTCCGAATGACCGGAGTGATTTCAGAGTGTTTTCTGTTTCAATCTCAGAGTGAATCGACTTCACTGAAGGTTTAAAGGGCTGAAAAGATGAATACGTGCTTTAATAAAGTGTTCACTTCAGGATCCGGCTCAGTGTACCCAAAACGACAATATATCGTGTTTACTGCCTGTGTAAACAAGCTGAACATTCTATTGAACATTTTAAGAAAAGAAAGAACGTTTTTCACAGATTTCACTGACCTGGTGTCTTAACGAGTGGCTTTACAAGCAACAAAAGTAACTGCTGAAATAACCAATTACTTCTCTCCATTCTATGAGGAGCTGCCTCCTCAACAGAAATTTTGAAATCTACGTCTTTGTTTCAGTGATTGCTAGTGTGTCCTTCAAAGTCACTTGTCCAAACGATAACCCACTGTTCTCAAAATCTTGAGTGACTTTAAAAGCCATCCTAGCAACAAGTGAAATAACCAATTAGACTCTTGCATTTTATGCAAATCTGCCTCTCCCGCCAAAATTAAGAAACCTAAATGGTTATTTTGATCATTGGTAGGGCGACCTTTAAAGTCCCCCAAAACTTCTAGCTGTTGCCAAGGTTATCAAGTTACACCGCAACAAATTGTTTCCAATTACGATTTATCAGGAGTATATTAATTTTGCTGGATATTTTCCACTAAGTTCCAATACAAGCTCAAACAAATGTCTCACTAAAAATGTACGAAGTTATGAAATTAAACTGGTGAGTTTTAATTCATGATCTTACAAGTCAGTACAAAAAAAATTGCCCATTCTTCATCTTTCAACAGATAAAGAGAAGCAAGTCAGATAAAGTTGTTTTATAGCATGGATACCAATAAAAGCGGCCATAATGAAAGCCAAAAGACGACTAGGGTAATAAGTGGTGGCTTAGAATAAAACTGAACAGGTGGCATGCTGAAAATATACAATGCTTTGGCAACCACGTGGCGGTGACTTGAAATGGAATTCCGAATGTGCCCTTCTTCTAATTCACATTTCATCATTCAAATCTATATCCATCTCAGGAAGTAAAAAGGTTCCTATTAAGGGTTGAACCTATCATCATCGAGATATATGCAAAGCGTTTGGTTCACACAATTATATCCTGTGCAATATACTCCATTTTTATTGATTTTTAGTTGTAACTTCGGATTGTTGATTTCCTTTGAAAAAATTTTGTCATGGAGATAGTCTTCACCTGGATCTGGATATAACTAACTGATGACTCAGAAGGAGGAAAAAACTCTCATCCTAAATTTTATTTCTAGTTTACACCAGGCAATTATATCAAAATGGAACTTGAGGCAGCAACGAGACATTCCTTTGAGGAGCTCATTTGCTGATAGAGATCGGATGTTGCGATCAAGTAAAGCAAAAACTGGAAAACTAAATCCACACAAATACATTTCTGTCAACGTAATAAAATGCCCGTGGTTACTTAGCCACTTGATTCCTCGAGCGATATTACCTATTTTAATTACTATCTAGGTTTTTTCAAACAATCTAGTCATTTACGTCATAGGGAATATTCAAAAAATATCAAGGCATCTGCATAAGAGACCTATATGCCAACAGAGGTCTATTACTTCGATCCAGTACATCAACATGAAATTATACAAGTATAAATGAACAATCCAGTACTTTTTTGGTCAGGGCATGTTGAAATAAATCAATAGTTAATGAATTAGATTTATGCGTATGAAAATTTCTACATTGAAGCACTGTTAAACAAATGTTTATCTAAAACATCTTTAATATACATAAAATTATCAGTTAAAAAATTTAACTAACCAGACCTTACTTTTTTGTATGTTGCAATCGCGAAAAACGTAACTCTTCTACATCGAAGAACTGATAGTTAGTAGGAAAACGAGAAACTAGTAACTGAGCTTAAAACATTTACACAATAACAATATGAAAATCAAAGAAGGTTATTTAGCCTTAAGAATTGGAAAGTTTAAAAATTAATAAGTGAATAAGGACAGTGAATGCTAAAGTTGCTTCTGGATATACAATTCCAGTTTGCATTTTTGTGTTGCCAGAGCTTCAGTAACCCAAAGCAAACGTTTTCCAAGACTTTTCATAAGATTAGTATTTTTTTTTACTAACGCAAGCGAATATTCTGGAACTGTGTGTCTTTTATCAACCAGATGCCGCGATATGGAGCTGCTTTTTGAACTAAGGTGATCTGGAAAGTATTGGAGTTAAGGCTGAACAGTCTGTCTCTGTTAAGGGCTTATATGCCTAGCTCCATGGGAGCTAACCTTTGAGTTTTTCAGGTTGTTATAACGTAAATTTTTTTATCTCAGCTACTAACTTCTCATTTTTTCTCTTCATTGACAACCATCTACTTATTGTTACAAACTTTTCAATAGTTTCACCCGACTACTTTAATTTATCAGTAGACTACATATAGATATTTTTAAATCTATCTCTAAAATGCGACTCATTTAATGCATTACAGCGGAGATGAATTGGTAAGTACTCTTAAACGTTATGTCACCAACTAAATGGAAAGTAGACATGTTCAAATTACAGAATATTCCTCAGTTAGTAGCATTGTCACTGATAATAAGGTACCACAAACAGTTATTTAATGCATGGTCTTGGATATTATGAATGGTATGACCAGTCTGTCACAAATGATTCTGATACCCTGAATTATCATCTACGTTTGTCCATAATATTGGGATTGACTTTAAGGGCCACTGTAGCAACTGTGGTAAAACAGACAGCCGATTACATTCCTTTATTTTATGGAAAATTACTTTCCCAGGCGAAATACTAAAATCTAATTGGTCATTTCACCAGTTGCTAGGGTCGGCCTTTAAGACACTCTTATATTGCAAAGTTGACGAATTAGATTTCCGACAGTCTGGATTTCATTTGAGGTACGGCTAATACGACTTTAAGGGCTTGTCATAAAACGTCGTAAGTTTTCGCAGCAAGTGTGATGAGTCATAACGTCGATTAAGAGTATGCGAGCAGTAGTAAAATGAATATCAATCAAAAGTAATGCGTAGGTATGTCTTTTGAAGGCTCATTTATGTTAACTACCTAATTTTAATTTCACTAGTTGATTAAATGCTGTTGATCAATTTTTCTTTGAATTCTCCATAATTCAGCTCCTCCTCCACGTGTTCTAATACCACGTAATGCAAGTGTTGAGCCTAGAACAGACGCCATACTCACTTGTAATATATTCAGTTTAAATGAAAATGTTGAAGTTAAATGGTATCGTGGCTTGGAACCAAGATTCGAACTAAAAAGTGGTCGAAGACACACAATTAAATTAAACCAAGATACACCTCCTGGTGGTTTGACTTCTGCTTTTACAAGCACATTGACAATAAGGTACGTTATGAAGCTTGATGGATTGCATGTCATTTCAAATGTTCTTGTTAGTTAACAAATACCAATCACCTAACTTTTTGTAAAAGGAAACTGCAAAACTTTTCCTTATGGAGCTTAGCAACGTTACTCCTAGAATCTTTGTAGACAGCGTTATTAGCCTAAAACACCACGATCCTTTCTTTATTGCACTGCTTTTATAATTTATCTTCAAAGTTTGTTTGTTCGTCACGTTATTTCATTGATTCCTGAAAGAATTCCCGCCAAAAGTGAATTCTGTACTAAAGCCTTGGGACAGTAGTTGGTTAGGTTGTATTTACTGTTCATGTTTAGGAGCTGCAAAACAGTAGCTGATTTATTCAGTTTAAATAGCTCGACGTTAATACATTTGACGGTGGTACTTATGGAAAAGAGTGTGACTGTCTCGGGAAACTTACACTTTCCTTAGGTTTATTTATGCCTTGCTTAAATGTGTTGGCAGATTTGAAACCTAGGCTAACGGTTATTTATCGGTCACTACATACCAGTCATGTAAGTTGACCAGCGGAGATATTGATGAATTTACTCCACTCAGGAAATAAAAGTGGAAACTACCTAATGGCTGCCTACACCGAGTGATCATTCATATCTTAAGGTAAGATTAATAAGTGTTGAGAAAGTAGAAAATCTTTGAATGGGAATTAGTCATCACAAGGCATATGACTCATATTTTCTGAAGAAAATTTATGACATCAACCATTCTTATCTCGAATTCATAGTAAAGTAATTGTTACATAGTTATCCAGCATTATGAGTATATCTCAACAACTACTGAAACATTCATCCATTCAAAAAGAAACTGAATGTTGATTAAAGTGGACAAGAGGTCAGTAAAATTTGAGTCCATGTGACTTAATTTCATGAAGGCTATAAACTAAATAGTACTGTGAAGCTATAAAATCACTAAATGAGAATACTTATTCGATGAACATACTTGACTTAAGATGGTGTTGATGCTGTTTACGCCTAGGTTATTGATATTCATCTCCTTTGAGTTCTATTCACTATTCAGTGTAAATTCTATGTCACTCAGTGCTTTATTTTAGATTAGTGTGATAATTATCTTTGAACATCTGCTTACCAGAGTATCTCAAACTTGGAATACTACAATTAGACTTAATTCAACTCTCATAGCTTACTGAAAAATAAACTTGAAAAAAAAATCCTTTTCTGACTCACCAACAGGTTTTAGTAATCTGTGGGAGGTATAAAAATCAAGAGATTGCATGATCCAACTTATGTTTTGAGTTTCAGTGTTCTGATGAGATAGTTGCAAACTTATGAGGGAGGTTAATATTCACTGCTTTTGTGTATTATGATTAACCAGTATTTTGAAAACTTTCAGTGAATATATGAATGAAAATCTCTAGCAGTTAGGTAATTCATCTTACTAAGCGTATATTTTAGATCTTATTTTAAAAGCTACTAGAAAAACCTGAAATGCGATTCACTTCAGTAATAGATGATTTTATTTATTTGCCAAGTTTATAATTATTATGTCGATTCAATTAGTTTTAACAATGTCTGATAAACTCAAGGGAAAAATTCACTTTTACTTATATAAGCCTCATGAAATTTTTTTAACAGAACTGCAACTGAAAGTGATTCAGGGAAGTATATTTGTGAAGCAGAACATAAAGGTGGAGTTAGCGAAGCTGATGGATTTCTCATTATTCACAGTAAGTCATTGAGCATAAGGTGTATATATAATTACTGACAGAACTATTTACAAAAGCAAGCAGTATGAAATCTATTTCGTCGAGATGAATTTTTCATATTATCTCGATTAAATTTTCATCTCATTGTGATACAATTACCAATCTGCTAAGTGTTTTATGCTTTAAGGGAATTATTTGTTAAATATCCTAGTGATTTCCTATCATAGTTTACAACCAAATTTCTTTTCCTACAACAAACATTACGAGAACAGTTACACTTAGAATGTTGTATAATTTAAACATTGAACCCTGTGAATACTTTTATTGCTGGTAACATCATTTCATTGGTTAGGTCAATGAAATTAAGTCAGTATAAGTTTTCTAAAATGTTACAACGAAGACAGATTAAATAAAAACTTTTTCATACTACTTATGATTTAAAAATCAGATAGTTATTTCAGAAATATCACTAATTTTCACTTATTCTATACCTTTGGACGTGTGATTATCTTCGTATTGAAAGTGTCAAAGTTATTTAATCTTGTGGAAAGAAAATGTAATCCTAGTTTTTAGTTAACAGTGATTCCAAAAAATGAACACTTACATAATACTAACTGTCTAGTCAATATCTCAAATCAGTACTGTTCGTAAGTAAGAAATGACTTCAGAGTTTCTGTGTAAGCAGCTGGAAAGCATAGCAAATGAGTAGACTTAAGTGCAAAAGAAGTTAGGATTACGAATGACTGATTGAAAAACCATTCGTAGTCTTTACAACTTCAGGTTTTACAAATATTGATTTATGTCAATCATCTTTTCAAAGCTGATTCAAGGTGTACTATTAAATTATGACACAAATCACACATTTAATTTGGCTGACTTCATAGATAATGGCCTGTTATTGGAACCATTAGGAATCTACGCCTAGTTCAGTCAGTAATCAGCACAAAATCGTTGTACAACAGATCGGTTTCTAAGAAATGTAGGCCATTAAATTTTGTCTGAGTGAATAAATGGTAGTAAGTTCGCCGTAAAAAGTTATACCACTAAGTTCAATCAATCATGGCGCATGGGTGCAGTATCAAACTAGAATAAAACAACTGTACAATGCTTTTTGATTGTTGATATCTGTCCAACTAATATTATTTAGTAATAAAAGCCTATTTGAAACCAAATGATTCTTCAGAAAACAATCAGAAACTATCGTTTATTTGGTTGGAGGCAATTGGTGAGAACTTATGTTTCGCACTTGTTGTGACTCGTCAGCAGGCTTATTTACAACCTCGAAGGAAGTGAGCTAACGTTCCCCCGCTGTAGCTCTCAAACCAGCGTCATCCAGTGTTGAAGTATGAGATGTTACCGCTGAGCAATTCAGACTGCAGCCAACCTCCAGTAGGACTGGATTTGATACACTGGTGGAAGTTGTAGATACACCTCGCTGAAAAGTCCGAATAGGCAAGAAACCTAACTTTACGGTTTCCTGCTGATTGCCTTCAACCAAATAACACCTTTTAAGCTGCACAGCGATTATAGGTCTCCTAGCTTGGCTTCCACATTGCAAAATGATTGATAGAATTCCGTCAGTTCTCAGGACTAGACAACATGAAATTCGTTACTCTGTAGCGACTAATCAAAGAAGCTATCAGTGTTCAGCAAAAATATCATTCAATGGATTTTATTTAAAGGATAAGATTACAAGAAGCATACCTTGTTTATTTAAAAAAGTGTGCAATGACAGGTCAATAAGAATACCATGTTGTGCTGTACCAATGAATTAGTGTTGTAAGCAGGTGCGAATGAATGTAAAAGGTAATCAGCGGGATGAAATCTGGATGATACCAGAATGAATTGTATACTGTACAAATTATTTCTGAATAAACAGAGATAGGAGAGGTGAAGTAAGTGGATAAATTCTCCTATCCCAGTTCAAACAAGCCAACCCAAAGTGTTAGGTTGTAACGATTTCAACTATTTTTGCTATCTAAACTGGAAGTAAGCACATATCTCTTAATAATTCACTTGAAATTCTATAAAAAATATTTAGAAACGAATCGTCTGTAATGATATGACGTTCACCACTCATCGAACAAAACTGGATTCCATATTCAATGCCAAACCATGCTACCACATGTTGATGAATGTGTCACTCATCAAGTTTACGTGTGATTAAATGCAAATTTTATTTGTACGAGAACATGTTCCATGATGACGGGCTATGCGCCATTAGTTTGAAAGACATTGTATTGAGTTGAACAATGCAGATTTGCAATTCTCTAATTACTAAGACAAATTTCCTAATACTGAATAAAATTTACTGGGAATCATGAACAAGCTTGGAATTAAGCACCTCTTTGACATTAATCTACTATAATCATCTGTAATCTTTTACGACTCATCATATGCATATAACAATATTCTCAACAGAAACCTTCCACCATATGAAGTTAAGTTTTCAAGTTCTGTATTAAAATCGGAGTATTTTAACCAGGGTCATGAGTGCTGGAGTTGTCGCATTACTAATCATTTGTTCATTTAGTAAATAATGAATATATGTACCACTCACAGAGTAAAATAAAATAGAATTTTCATTTGAGTTGCTAAACTTACCGAGCAGTTGTTATCAAAATCTATGTTGCAAAATAGGCCTGCTACCACCTCCAGGTAACATGACAATATAATGATCAATACTCTTAAAGATAAATTTAATCACTAATTATGGTAATTGTTGAAAACGTATCAAACTCACAGGGTCACTATTTCTAATTCAGAACCGTATTTTTGTCGTAATTTTCAACAGATTGTGATCTGGTGTTTCGGTAAAGACATACGTTTTCACTTTGATGATTCGATAAGTCAAGCGTGATTACTAAGCGTCTTTGAACTTCAAGTTAACTAAATCTTGAAAATAATCATTTTTTTCAAAACTTACGTTATATTACAGCTCGTCCTGTCGTAACTTCCGATGAAGAGATTATCACGTTCAAAGAGGGAAGTGCACTTGTCTTAAGTTGTCGTTCAGAAGGAGCACCAAAGCCCAAAATTATATGGGCCTACAATGATGTACCGATTACGATATCTACTGATGATGACCAACGTATAACAATCATTGAAGAATTCTTTGTATGTTTATTTTCAATTATTATTTAGTTTCGTTTATCAGAGTTTGTGAGCCTACCGTTTACGCAGATGGTTACTCTTTTCTTTCACATGGAACAATTTGAAGCCAATGAGGGTACTCACTTACAGAAATAGGGATAAAATGATTCTTTAGCATTGAATCGAATCATTTAATTTTGAAAACGTATTTCTCTTAGTATATTAGTCACTATTTAGACATACATTCTACGCGGGAATTTAGTCAGACGTTACTCTACATAAATATATATAAGAATCTCCCTTCTCAATACAAACTCATCAAGTGATTTTTGTTTATCACCAACAAGACTGTCATCGTGTCCAACAGATGTGCTTTTTGCACAAGTTTCTTTCACTTTAAAGTATTCTTTTAGATTTATTATAAATTACTCAAACATTCCTTTACTGTGGTATTATTCCTCACAGTCAGAGGTTATAATAATTAGGGGCATAGCTCATCATCCACTGCAACTACAACTTTGTGTTAAAGATGAATGGTGACTAGCAGTGAAAACTAGAACGTGAGTTTCACTCTATATGAAATTCATTGGCTGCATATCCCTGCTTCCAGTAAATATTTCTATCCACTCTCAGGTCGGAACCTTGCTCTCATCACTACTGAGTCGTGTTACGATAATCACACCATATGCGACAAGTTATTCTGATATTATGACTTTTTATTTTCAGTTGTCGACTGGTTTGGAGAGTATACTTGAGTGCCAACAGTTGGCGATCAATACGTCCATATCAGTCAGCAAGAGGAAACAACGACTTGCGATATCAAGTTGTATGTCGAAGCTCATTCTACATACTTGAATGTGACTGATGAGGGTAACATCTAAAGTTATAACATATTAGGTGGGGTTTATAATTCATTGACCAACTGTTGATTCAGTAAAGTCTGGTGCGTTTAATAAATCGAAAACATTTTCAGATATTAGATATCTACGATAATTTCATGAGGATTCAGCTTTCATTTCAATATTTTGAAGAAAATAAATGCAACAGGACATGGACTGTCATCTAGTGCATTCAAATCATTGCTTAGTTAGAATTAATGCAGCTCAACTGAATAGTGGACAATGCTAAATTGGTATCCTTAAAAAACATTTTGAGTTCCTGTGTACAAAATGTCTGATAATTCAAAAATTTAGTCTGTTAGTCATCTTTTGTTTGTTTTCTGCCTCACTGGCTATATCATTCACTTTTTCTCTCATCAAAGGAGTCAAGATTGATTATTCGTCCTGCGAAAGCTGGTGATGCCGGTAACTATTCCTGCATAGCTGTTAATTCAGCCGGTAACAGTACAATGCAAATTGTTGCCAATTTCATATCGCTGCCGAAAATTGACAAACTAGAAATATCTACACCACTACCAGTAGAAGGCCAGGAACAAATATTCACCTGTCACGTTTCCGGGAAACCGAAACCTAAAGTAAAATGGGATTTTAATGGCAGTCCAGTAAGTTATCTATTTTTTCATTACTTTCGATTGTTAACAGACGAATGACATGTGATGAAACCATCAAGGAGTTATAAGACTCAGGTTTCCTTTAAGAAAGAGCTGAAAATCCAGTCTGTATCCGGCAGTATCGTATTGAAATAATCACATCCTTAACATTTTAAAGACGATGACCAAAATTACTGATAAACAATTGCTTTATATACTTTTTATTCATGTGATCAACATACTGATTAGTCTTCGATGAATAAGGTCAGAAAAACAGGTGAGAAAGCAAAGTTTGGAGTGAAAATACCCACTTAATATGAGCATTAGACTAAGGTTATTGAGGCAGAATATAATTCCATGTTTCCTCGTGTATGAAATTTGTCTTACAGCTAAACGTTATTATCCATTGACTAAAGATTCAAAATTACGACCGAAACAGGATTCAGGAAGTACAAGTCATGTGCGGATCAAACTGAAACGCCACGCTACACATCATCATAGAACGGAGCATAGAATAACAGTCAACTCAACTCAACTCAACCTCAATTCCATCAACTTTGAAAAGGCCTTCGGTCGAAGCATCGACCGAGAACTAGTTTCACAGGTAGCTGATTCAACACTACGGTTTCAGGTAGTGCCACAAACCTTTACCAACCTCATTCAACAACAGCTATATGCTGTGTGAAGACAAAACATGCCATGTGATTCACAATGCAAAGCTCAGTGATACACTTGAAGTGAAGACAGGGGAGAGGAGTAAGACAATGTGGCCCCCACCTACTATCACCAATCATCTTCCTGATTGTGGCTGGCTCCACTCCACTCCACTCGACTGGAGTGGACTTGACTGGATTGGACTGGATGATGCAAGAGACAAATGTGAGGAGCTGTGAGAAGATGGGCATACACTGGTCGGTCTGATGAAAAGACCCGAGAAGAAAATTTGTAGAGTGAAATGGTGACGTGCTACTGAAGCCGTATGTTCCACTAGGAACCTATGGGATTTGAACACAATTTATTTCTCATAATTATATTCGAGTACTTTGAGAACAATTCTACTCCTCATGCAACTTTACAACTATAACAGTTACCGAGTGAGGCATGAATTCGAATTTTCAGTAACTATCATTACGCATCAGATGAAATTAGTATCCGTTTCAGTAGAATAGTATAGCTGAACAAGTCAGGCATTACCATAAATGCTACTAAAGAAACAAATGTTTCACGTCTTTCTAAAAATACCTTCCAAATTTATCTTCTTAGTTTTAGTGACAAAATTCCTAAATATCCCAGCACACTGCTTATTGTTCTTATTTTGATCTGTTACTTTTAAAATAAAGGTTACTAGTAGTCCAGGCATCCATATTGATGAGGAGACAGGAGTACTTAAACTACTTTCAGTTCGTCAGGATATGAAAGGAGAGTGGACATGTCTTGCTGAAAATATTGCTGGTTATACAAGAGAGTCTGTTCTAATGGATGTTGGATGTAAGTAAGATATTGGTCTGCACCCTAAAGATCCCTTTGGTATTTAATGATATGAATTACTTAGTTCTATGTTCTTTTTTCGATCTGATAATCTAAAGTATTCATAGGGTTTGAATAATCTATCTGCCATTTTACAAAATCACTGAGTACCTTACTTTTCTGTCACTAGCCATCACGTTTCAAATATTTTTCATATATAGATTAGCCATTATTGTTCCCGAACAGTCCTATAGTTAGTCACTGATTAGTAACCAATATCATGGATACAGAGATCTTACTGCCAACTGGATTTTGTATGTCATGTTTCTGGTGTGACCGCTAAGCTAAGGAAATTGAAATTGTATCACAGTTTTCAGTGTTCAATGTATTTTTCCTCATTGTCTTTAAATATTTACCGCCAGCAACTCTTTGTCTCTTTCCCACTTTTGCAAAAGGGTTACTTGTTTCGAATATCTTTAATGTGTTTATACTCACTTATTCTCCTAATCGTAGTGAGATAGTACCACTCATTTGGAAGGATGGAAACAGTCATTTGAATAATACCTGAAGGAGCAGAAGATGAAACTGAAGACGTATAATAGAAATCTTTCCAATCAGATAGAGGTTTTCAAGATAAACATTTATAAATGTTTTGAATAGTGACGGTGATTCAGTGTAAATTCTCTCAAAATGTATTAAGACTGTTGATCGAAATGAATCTCAGTATACAAGTCTTGTTTATAAAAAAATAACAACTTTTTTTACCTTTTCAGTCCCACCAAAAGTGCTTACAGATTTCACCAGTTCAAAAGTGTTAGCTGAATTTGCAATGGACACAACTTTGAGTTGCCCAGTGACTGGTCAACCACTTCCCAGTGTTAAATGGTATCGAGTTACTGGATCAGGAAATATACCATTGAGTTTTGGGGACCGTTATATCTTACAGGCTGATAATTCTTTATTAATACATGGTAGGTGAAGTATTAGATTAACGATAGATGTATACGGTTTTTCTATGTAACAAAATATATCCGGTTATTTCATTTATTCACTTGACACAAACTACTAATTCTTCACTCTCAATCGATGTATTCTTTCTTGTAAATTTACTATTTGTACTGTTCAGCAGTATATCACTTCTTTCACCTGGAAAATGGTTACTTATTCATTGTCAACTGTTCAGAAATGAATGGCTGAAGCGGTTCATTTTGAGTGACAAACGAAAGGTCTACCTTTTGGTTCTAGTCCGTTGGTGCTAGTCACAAATATAAGTGACTTACATTTTCTCATACTGACCTGTTAATATTGATATGATCCAATAATAATGTTAATACATTTTGGGTGTAACGAACTAATTCATACACATTGGAATGAATTGTGTTATTAAGGGTTTTTTGTTAGGAAGTACTTTAGTTGACATCTTTACTGCAATTCTTCAAAATAGGTGGGTTCAACAAGTGATTTCCACACTAAATGTGCTTCGACGATATATTGGCAGTAATTTCCTTAAGACTGAAGTCGTTCGATAGTTAAACTATGTTCGCAAATGAGTGACCAAAATGTGAGAAAATCACAGCCTAAAAATCTGTTATCAGTTTTTACTGTCTAGACAGATGCGTGAAAAGTGCCCAAATGTCCAATGATATTCCCCCTGATTACTGCTATTCTGTGACTGATAAATGTTTCTGTTAGTCTTCATTAAAGTATTATTGAATCTGTGCTGCTGTAAATATATCAATGTAAGTGCAGGTATGTAATACCATATGCTTAAGATTGTGTGAAATGTTTGGCAGAACTGTCTGGTGAACTGATCATTGGAACTGTTTGGTGGGAATACCTAAAATAAGCATGCCACAATTACGATCCATTTTCTCCCTGTGTCATTCTGGAGATCTATTGCTTGTAAATGCCGAGTGCAATTCAATTTAATTAATAATTCAATTCTAAAAAGCAGCACAAAGTAATCCATTAAAATTCATCTTTTATATACGTTGTCAAAGATAAGAGAAGACTTTTCACAACATGAATAGTACAAGACCTAATTTTAATCAGCAGGATAAGAACCTTCATAGAATTCGTGAATTTTAAAATCGCAAGAGGTTACTCACGTAATACGTTATTATAAGAGTAAAACTTGGATACCGTAGTAGAATGTAATTCGCCCTATAATGGCTGACATATATAGAGACAGTTGAAAATTGATGACTGTGAAAACAGTTATTCCAGTTCCAAAAGTATGGTTTTGATACATAGATGACAAGTTTACAGTGTTGAAATAGGAGTACATAGACATTTTTCTTACATATATATAAGTTCAGTATTCAATCCAGTCCAATTTACGTATGAATTAGAAAGTGGTGATCAAAAATTACAGATGTTGGACTGTAGAATGAAACGATAAAAGGTAGGACTTTAGATATCATTTTTGATAGAATACCTTCACATTCGAATCGTTACTTAGATTTCAAATAGTCTCACCCTATGTCAGCTAAAGTTGGCTTGGTAAGCTGTCTAGGTAACAGGGCCAAAAAGCTTACTGAGGAAATAAAAGACACATTAAAAACACCTCATCCATCAGTAATTATCATGTTAAATTAATTAATAACTTCCTGAGTAGTCGTAAAACGAGTGTTAGTAGTAGTAATAATAGTGTCAATAATATTAGTTACTATACTGTGAAGAGAGAATTCAAAGCCTCCCCAGTGAAACCATATCAGGAAGGGACCGTAGAAACATTACGCAGGATTCTCTGTAAGACCGAAATCAGAGTGGCATTTAAACCCAAAAACTTACTTAGAAATAAGCTTTGTAGGTTAAAGCCTCCTTCTATTGATCCACTTAAGCAGAATAATTAAGTTTATCAATTCCGTTGCATCGGTTGCGAGGTCAAATACACAGGTCAAAGCAGTCGACCAGGGTCACTTAGGTTACTGGAGGACAAATATTAGCTAGATCAAAATTGGTAGATCCTAGTAAGATAAGGAATCCAGAAAAAAGCTCTGCCGTAGCTATGGGTGTAAACAAACGCAACCACATAATAGGCTGAGACAGGGTGGAAATCCTTATAACTGACATAGCAAGGGGGAGGGAGAGATTAATAACTAAATGTTTATTTATTGAGTCAACACGTTATACATGCAACAGGAATGACGTAATCCAGTGAACAGTACTTTTCCTTAGTGTGATTTATCTAATAAATGAACTAGAATGTACGCACCTAATAAAGCGATAATAAACTTTAAGCTCCCTGACCAACACTTATCAGCAATTATTATCCTCCAATGTCTGTTAAAAGAAACTCACTAAGCTTATACTTGTTATTTTCTAGTCGGTAACTGGTCTGATGATACATGAAGTTTGTCGTACCGTTTATGACTACTACGGTTTTATCCACAAATTTCTATGGGGCTGTTAAGCTGACTGCTACGAAGTTTGATAGTACTTTCATGAAACACAAGCTATTACATATTAAAACCTTTGGTTTCTAAAGAGTAAACTTAGAATGATTGCATCTTTCCGTTGAGCTTAGTTCTAACAAACACTTTCCTAAGCGAAAATTGCCTACCAATTTGAGTATAAGACAACTACAAATACACACACTTGAAAACTGGATGTTTTAATTTCAGTCAGACTTATGAATGGCTTTTTACCCGCTTAGAATTATTTGTTTCATATGTGCATGATGAAGCGTTCTGAATGCTATTGTCTAATCTGTCTGGACATTCGCACTTCGGCACAGGAAATTTAGTTATCTCAGATGGTGAACTTTGTTGGTGAACATGCAATCAGATTTTTCTACAAGTGAACACCAGTAATGAATATATTTCATAAATACTTCCTAAAAGTGGAAAACACACACTGATTTTTGATTTATTTTTTGCTTTATAGATGTCAATATGGAGGATGGAGGTGTTTTTCTCTGTGAAGCTGTTAACATGTATGGTAAAGTTGGTTATTCGGTTACCGTTGACATTGGTGGCACTAGTAAGTTGGTTTAATTAATGATTTAGAAAAGTATGTACAAAATGTTTTGGTTTCCAGTGTTAAAGAGACTCAAATTTTTTTGTGTTGCTACAACTATGAAGAGTAGAACTGATTCTTGTTATCTGATAATATCCAAGACAATTTTTGATTCCTTATTAAGAATGAATTCACAAAATGATACTAGTTGTTTTGAAGTATTCACTATGCATTTAAAGGTGACTCGGTGACATTTTAATTCTTTATAAGGATAGATAAAATGTTTAAAATGATAACCAGACTTTAGTTCGAGTTAACTTATTAAACACCTTTTTTGTAGTATTCATATATGCAAGTAATGCATGGTGTTTGTATGTTTGCCATTGTGTTAAAAACAACTACAACTGACAAGATGGCATGAACTCTTGCTAATGGCAGTTGGTAGATTCTGAAACAAAATTCAAAATTAGCTGTCAGTCAGGCTTCATAGCAGGAAAGCAAGGTTAGAGATAAGAGAATATTATTTCGGTTACAACGCTAGGCTAGACTTCGTTTTTACACCACATTATTGTAACGTCAAATAAAATAAAAATTGGTTTAGAAAAAACTTGACATGAATTGTAGACATACTCTATCCACATCCATATTAACATTTTTTGTATTAGGATGAAATGTACCAAGTTACACATTTTATGATGCATACACCCATGTCATTACAATGGTGTTTCTTCTTTGTTAAATTCTCTAACCACTTTCTGAAAAGATTATTAATCCTTTCGACTTCGATCAGTTGAAATAATCTTGTAACAGTCGTATACTGAATCAGATACTTTATTTGGAAAAATGATTCCGTCACATTATCTCGAAATTATATTATAGACGTGTCTGATAATTTAATCAACAGTTTGACTGTTTAGTACTCAGCAAAGATTCCTTTTTCTGTAACCACCAATCTACGTCATTTTCAGTCCTAAAACAGCGTCGTGGTGAGTCACAATAAGTGATCACCAAACACGTACTATGTAGATGTATACTATATTAACACACTGCAATTGTTTACTAGTTGTCGTCAAGTACAAAGAACACAAGCAAACTCAGCTTTACTAGTGATATTTCCTGCTACGCTGTTTCGTATAACTGTTAGTTTTATTGCCTTTTCATTCTGTTTGCGTTGTTGTTGTTTATATTTACTTAGAGGCTCCATCAATTTCATTTACACAACCTAAACAATTAGTTTTATTGGGTACACAAGAGAAACAAATTATCTGCAATGTCCTAGATGCTAAACCAGCTGCCACTGTTATCTGGTTAAAAGATAATCAACCGATTGATACACGAACAAGCGATAAATACTTTTTGGATGGATTCAATTTGATTGTTCGAGATATAGAAGTAAGTAACCTATATTAAAGACTGGTGTAGATACATATTTGGAGGAGGACTACTGTGAAATATATGGAACAACTGTTATGTGATATTTATGCTGTAAAAATTCCTATCGATTTCTTAGTCGGTAGCAGTTTAGAATTATCACAAGGGAAATGTTTTTTACCCGATTATTAACACTTAAATTCTGAACATTTTATGATGCTCATATAATGCAACAGAAATACCAAATCAAGTGCGACATCTTCGCAGTGGTAAGTCGGTCCAGTAGACCTTTAAGCACAAAACATTCGCAGCCATATCAAGATAATTCCCACCACACCACTGATATAAGATAGGGAAATAGCGAAAACTGAGGAACACTATATAACCGTCTCATCGTTGTTTCGACCTTGTCAGTTTTGAGTATCAAGCTATTCGCCTAACCGTTCACTTAGTTCTCACAATTCATAAGCAATATACACAAAGGAATTTAATAAAAAAGCATGCTGTTACAAGTAGTTAATGCCTATTCTAATAAGCGTTCTCCTTTAATTCTTCAGAAAATATTCCTCACTGTGACACAGATTAATAAGAATAACTCCTGCACGAAGTGAACACTTGAAAAAATTTTCATTTTTTTCCAAAAATGAACAAACATCAACAACAAACTGAAGCCAAGTTTTATCATTCTGTCAGGAGGTCATTTCACCATAAAATTCACATTCATTTTCTGTCTAGTTTACTAGTTCACTAGTTACTAGCCGGTCCTAACCCCGGATAAACAAGGAACGTTCGGCAGATGGATCACAACCCTACCCCATAAAGCCAATTCAAACACTAAACAAACTTCAAAGCACAAAGAAAATATACAAAATAAAAACAAAATTATTCCTCCCTGGAATCAGGGAGACGCAATGACACCGGTTGGTGAAAGCTTGACTTCGGGAAGCCAATTGCCCGATGTCTCTTCTCTTCTCTCGATGAAAGCGAAAGTAAGCATGCAGACAAGGAATGTCCACACCATGTATGAACCTAACAAGGCTGCACAGATTGCTCAACAGATGAGAAGGTATAGCATTGAAGTGCCAGGAATCCGTGAAACTGTCAACTGGAGAGTCAATAATCTACTCCGATATTGTCATCCAGATGACAACCACAAGCACACTGAGTTATGGAGTAGCTATCACAATGTCCCCAACACCATCGATGGCTGTCTCTCATACAGTGGGAACCAATCACCTCCTCCACCATCACGATCATCACAGCAAGATGGATTCAAATCAAAAGGAAGCAAACTCACAATCCTACAATGAATGCTACGCTACACTACACTATGCACCTACAAATAATGCAGATGAAGAGAAGAAGGAGGAATTCTACCGACAAACGGGATCAGTAATGGACAAGACCTCACCCCACCACACCTCAGTCCAGATGGAGACATCAAAATTCTGACCGCCATAAAGCTACTGAAATCCAGAAATGCAGCAGTACCAGATGGAATTTCTCCAGAAGCAATGAAAACAGACACAGACACAACAACGTACATGCTCACACCACTATTCCAGAAGGTTTGGAAGGAAGGAAGGAGGTAAAAGTACCTGCGGATTGATTACAAGAAGGTTTGCCTTGTCAAACTTCCAAAGAAGGACGACCTAAGCTGAGTCTTTGCAATAACCGTAGAAGAATCATGATCCTGTCCACAGCAAGCAAAATATTATGCCGCATCATCCTGAAGAGACTTAAAAATGCCCTGGATTCAAAATTACTACCGAAATAGGCTGGATGGATGGATTCAGGAAGTACAAGTCATGTGCGGACCAAACTGAAACGCCACGCTACTCATCATCATAGGACGGAGCATAGAATAACAGTCAACTCAACTCAACTCAACCTCAATTCCATCGACTTTGAAAAGGCCTTCGATTCAGGCATCGACCGAGAACTAGTTTCACAGGTAGCTGATTCAACACTACGGTTTTAGTCAGTGCCACAAACCTTTACCAACCTCATTCAAAAACAGCTATATGCTGTATGAAGACACAACATGCCATGTGATTCACAATGCAAAGCTCAGTGATACACTTGAAGTGAAGACAGGGGAGAGGAGTAAGACAATGTGGCCCCCACCTACTATCACCAATCATCTTCCTGATTGTGGCTGGCTCCATTCCACTCCACTCGACTGGACTGAACTGGCCTGAACTGGACTGGACTGGATTGGACTGGACTGGACTGGACTGGACTGGACTGGAGTGGAGTGGACTGGACTGGACTGGACTGGACTGGATTGAACTGGATTGGACTGGATGATGTAAGAGACAAATGTGAGGAGCCGTGAAAAGATGGGCATACACTGGCCGGACTGATGAAAAGATACAAGAAGGGGATTTGGATTTCGCCACCGATCATGATTTATGTCTAATGTCTTGTTGCACAAGCTCGAAGATCTACAGGTGAAAAGTAAGAAGTTGGCAGAATAGGCGAGATAGAGCAGCGAAGACGGGACTGACTTCATGTGAAGTTAGAGAAGACAGAGGTGATGAAGGTATCCAACAAACAAAACAACAACACCAACACCAACTAATGGCACCAATCACCATGAATGGGAGAAATCTAAAGGAAGTTGTGTCTCTCCCTATCTATACGAGGCAGCATCGTTTCAACTACAGGCGGCGGTGGCGGTGGCGATGGCGATGGCGATGGTGGTGTCGGCAGCACAGATGAGGATATGAAAGCCAGGATCGGAAAGACAGCAAGACAGACCTCCATCAATCCAGAATAATCAGTGTGGCGATCTACTCCACTCCACTCCACTCCACTGCACTCAGCAAAAAGCGTGAACAAGATATGGATTTTCAATATTAATTTCAGTCAAGTAAGTCAGAACTTCTATGTGATGGTTCAGAGACTTGTTGTGTTAAGAAAAGCATTTCCAGCAAATTACAGACTACATCATCAACAGCTGCCGCCTACGCTCTGCTCACTCGATACTGACACTGAAGATGGAAATGAGATGGATTACAAGAATAATAAGAATACGCAACAAGCAACTCACTCTGGCTGGCTGGCTGGCTGGCTGGCTGGCTGGCTGGCTGGCTGGCTGGCTGGCTGGCTGGCTGGCTGGCTGGCTGGCTGGCTGGCTGGCTGGCTGGCTGGCTGGCTGGCTGGCTGGCTGGCTGGCTGGCTGGCTGGCTGGCTGGCTGGCTGGCTGGCTGGCTGGCTGGCTGGCTGGCTGGCTGGCTGGCTGGCTGGCTGGCTGGCTGGCTGGCTGGCTGGCTGGCTGGCTGGCAACGAACCAACCAAGCAAGAACCCATTGCCCAACAAATATGCACAAGAAAGTGGAGGTGGACTGGATTGGATTGAATATACACTGAGAAGACTATTTGGACAATCACGCACCAAGTCAGCCCTCGAGTGGGATCCAAATGGAAATGACGACTTCGGCATCCGTGCTGAGTATGACATGGATGAGATGGTGTGAGGAAGAAATGGATGATTGTGGGTAGTCGTGGAGTGAGGTTGAGCAGACTTTAGAGAAGAGAGATCAATGAAGAAGTGCTCCTGAATCCGTATGTATCCTGGTAACTCAAGGGACAAATCAATAAATGGGTCAGTAAAGTGGTTTATGCTTATTTTGATGCAGATTAACTTATCGGTTTTCTAACCATTATCAATTGTTCAACGTATGTATTTAAGTTCATTTTGTGTACGCAGTATCTATCAACGAGGAAAATAAGTCAATCAGTGAGGTTTTGAACCCTGACAAGTAGAAGTGGCTTGAACATATGTTTGACATGTTGAGCCATCCTCCACATTCACGTGTCAAGTTACATGAAGTAAGAATGGCTTTGAAGAATTCTAAGGACAACGGAATCAAAATGTGGAACCAGTTAGTGAATTCTGTTGCTGATGGCTTTAGACATTTATAGAGAAGTAAGCCACCTGGCTGAGGGCCTGATGACGGTAGGTTCGTTGCGATGTACCTCAAAATCAGTTACAATAGTGCAGATGTATACAATGTCTGCTATCTCAGAAGTCTTTAATATTTTTCCAAGTATGCATCTATTTTTTATTATTTCTCTTATGCACTTTTACCAACTTAAATGCCATTCGTATTCAGTCCTCTTCTTGATCAAATGTTGCTTTGAAGTATGGCAACTTTAGTTGTTGCAATTTTGTGTCAAGCCCTACTTTTCTTCTGTATATCTTTCTGTCTATATGGGCTTCGTTTAAAATAAGTATTTGATTTGTCAAATATTTTACTTGATGTAAGTTTACACTACTTAATGCTATCTAGCCAGTAAACACCTTACTGGTAGCGCAAAAGTGAGCGTTTACTTTACACTGGCTTTTAGGGAATAGTAATTCCCAAGCGAGACTATTCTTATTGTCCAGTGATTAGAATACTTATTTTTTCATTTAAAAAGCACCTTATTTTTCTAAAAATTACTTTTTCAGATTGAAGATGAAGGGATCTATACATGTATTGCGCGCAATGTAGTTGGAAAAGCTAAATTCGATATTGAATTGGATGTTCAAGGTAAGAAGTTTGTACATTTTATATGACATTTATATTCATTGAAGTAGAGTTACAAGGTCTTTGGATGGTTTTTACCATGAAAAGAAAAGCTTTCACCCATGTTAATTTTTTGGTGTTAGTCAGTCAACAAAAGCTGTGAGCTGATATCCCAAATGCTTCAACAGCCGTGATTTTGTTTCAGATAAAACTGTTTGCAGGAAACTCAAGATAGGTTTAATAACTGTATTTTATATTCATACCGGTAGAAAATCAGCTGACTTTTATCAATCGCATAATTTAGGGAGGATGTGACTTACTCCACGTAGGTAAAAGGGGTTCCAATGAAACTAGAGTTGATTAACTGGATTCAGTAAATTCTCTAAAAAAAATGTTTGAATTTCAATAATCATCGATTAGTTGGTCAGTGAAAATAATTGCTTGCGTTTTCTCATCATGTGAACACTTCGAATGCATTGTGAATTGGTACTGCGTATCGACACCACTTAGGAAGGGTGAGACTAAACTTTATCCCCAGGTTTTAGTGTTCTGTGAGTGGGAAAATACTTATTTTCTGTTTTTAAGCATATATTTTGAAGTGAAAACTGCAATCGTAAATCCGTTTTGCTGCAAATCGAAGGCTCAACTAATTTTGATTTGTGAGCATCATTCTTCATAAATAAATGCACTTACGTCCCAACTAGGAGGAGGATGTGCAACCAATACTTTGCACATGAATAAACGTCATGCAACATGATTCTATGACAGAGGGGTTTTTAGAAACTATATAAATAGGTGAAATATATAAACAGCATACAGAAAAGATGCGAATTCACGTACAGAACACCATAAAGAGCACGATAACACCTGGAAATAACTTTTAGTCTCACTCCTTAGGATTGCTAAATTCTTTCGAAAGTATGCCTTTACGCAGAAAATAAGCTTTGACTTAGCTATAGAGTGTGCATTAGTTTCTACTGGACGACTAAATTTCTTATCTTCTACTGTCTACCATATTTATTCTTAATACAAGTATTTCGACTTTACGTTTAGGCTGGTTAGAATCCAAAGTGCTGGTAGGACTTGAACTCAGAATAGTTAAGCGTCTTACCACTTTCATTACCACTGATTTTGTTTTCTAGTAAGAAGAGGATACTTTTAGTTGATTAGAGTTAATCGATAGAAAACCGTCGACTTAGAATCCCTGCTTGTTGGTACTAGTCACCAGGGCGGATCTGCAGCCTGGGGGAACTGATGACCCCTTTGAGATTCGAACCTGCTATATCCAGTGCAGCAGTCACAGACATTACCCGTGAGCTGTGACTCAGCTTGCAGTCTACGTCCAGAACAACATCCTTTTTATCCAAGAAGCTGTGTTTTCAAATTCTAAAGACATTATATATTGATAATCAGTATCAGTTTTGTATACTTTTACCTTGGATGTCACGATAAAATTACTCAGATAAAACTTATGGTTTATTACTGTCCACTCAACCAATGATTGGTTTAACTGCCATTAACTTCCTTATTACTCAAAACCTAACATGTTTAGGGATACTCAGCTACCTAATTCGTTGCAACCACTTTGTAAAGATATCATTTATTCGTGTAAGAGTAATGTTTGCGTACTGTGCTAGAGTACATTTCTATTATAGTTCTACTTTATGTATTTATGCATCGCAAGTCCTCAAAACCTCATCCAGTGAATAATCCAGTTTCACTGTGATATGTATATAAAAGGAAGTATAATGGTGTCATTTACTAGTTTTTGGGTTAAAATACCTGTTTCATGTTTACAGTTTATGTGTAAATTCAATCTAAGCATTGACAGAGAAGCAATAAAGTACTGATTGTTGCTATATAATACAAAACCAGATCTTTTAAAGGGACTCTTTAAATATATGGTATACAGCAAGTGCATACATTCATATTCTTTAGTTGTAAAGTATGCTATTGGTGCTGTAGGACAACTGGTCATGTAATTGAAGGCAAAACCACGCTGTTTACAGTATTCGGTATTTCCATTGTACATCCATAACACAGAGACATAGTTGGTTGAAAGAACAAAGTATTTGATTTTCAATGATATATCACACTAAAAGCATGTTTTGCAAATTATTTGCAGGCAGATTAGAAGATGAAATGGTTGAATCACTGTATTCGTTCTGAACAAAACTCAGGGGTTACTTTACTTACAGATGTACACTGTCCACATGTACTAATTAATTTCTGAAGTTTACATGAAACATATTCAGTAATGTTCTATGTATGCATTAGAACAAATTATATCACTTACTTACTTGTTGTTATAACCAATGTTTCAGCTAAACCCCAGTTTTCAGATTCATCAGTTGGAGGTAAAATCGATGTAACACAGGGGGACAATTTAGTTCTGGAATGCAAAGTTGAAGGCGATCCAAAACCAATTGTTGAATGGCGTAAAGATGGTAGAATAATTCTACCTCAAGGACCTGCCACAAATGCGGGAACAATGTATGGCTCGAATATGGATCAATAGGTCCAGCTATTGTCATTTCACCTGATGGATATACATTGACAGTATATTCAGTTACCGATGCTGTCGCCGGAAGCTTTACCTGTTCTGCTATTAATGTTCATGCAATTGAATCAAAAGAATTCGAGATCACAGTTAAAAGTAAGTCCACTTAAATGCCTAGACAGTTATTCTCGTTTGTAACAGACTTTTTTAATTGCTCACCACCTTAAGTATCAACTCAATGAAAGTCCTTCTTACTAACACAAAATAAAATATCTATGACAATATTTTTCAATGTGAGGGGAAATGAACTCCACAGTCATTAAAACTATCATCCTCAGAAATTCATTTGCATATTGATAATTTCGGTCGCGCAACCGCTGACCAGTTGTCAAGGTAACATAGTGTCAAGTGACAGTCACTGTAAATAGACAAGAATTGGATAGTGAAGTATATAAAAGTGGTGACGGAGATGGGATTTTTAAGTGACTATATTCTTACTATATTCCCTTCGTACTTTCACCAGAATCTTGATGAAGCATTTAACGGTTGATTTTTGTGAAAATAATGTAAAGCTGTAGTGGGCGTTGCTGATCAAAATTGATATAAGTAGTATATGTTGAGAGGGTGGCCGAAGTCAGAGAATCACCAGCAATTGGTAAAGATTCTGAAGAGAGAAACACAAGGGACAATGTGGGTGTAATAAGATCAAATCAAGATAGAAGCAGAGGAGGAAATGAAGCACATAATGCAAACGACTGTCTTAGTGAAAAGTGTACCATATTTGATGACTACCATACAACATGTCAATAATGAAACATCCATTCCATCGTCTCCTTCTTCTCATTTCCTACAAAACTAATAACTGTTCAGCGAATCCCATATAAGAGTGTTATACTCAATCACAATACCAAAGTTTCACTGGTACACTGGCTACACAGATAAGCTTATTCAAAAGGCACTTTATGCTTTCATGGATTAAATAAAGTATAATTGGTAAGTAGTGGTGTGGGAACGAGGTTTCATTTGTTCCACCGAATGATCGAATTTGAAAATAGTTACCATCAAACTAAAGCCACAGTCCACCTAACTAGACACGCCATGTTCAATCAATGAGTTATTAGTTTTAACCCTGCTACACATACTGAAGTTTGAGCAGACAGCTAGTACCAGAGTTTCCACAAAATAGGTATCTTATTACAATAGATTACATAACCATACACCTGCAGGGTGTGACTGTACTGAGAAAAAAGAAATTCTCCGAATATATAATTGACTAAGCCATAAAAAATATCATTCCACGAAACCATCATAATGGAAGCACTACGTGTTTATTAAATGATTGTTAAAATAGGCCAACGGATAACTTTGACAGGCGCCCAATCAACTACGCAGGTAGCTTTAAAAGCTTTTTCGAATATGCTCAGATGAAAACTACTTCCCCTTAATTGTATACGGCTCCCAGGGAATAGAATCACGCTTGTTTGGTTACTTCACTCAAAATATGTAAAATAAAATTGTTTGCATTATGATGCTTACATGTAAGGTACACCTCATAGCTATGGTCAGAGGTATTTTCAAAACGGCATATGGAATCACTCGATTTGCTTATGTACAACGGAACTGAGTAAGCGCTTTTAATAAGTCAATATTATATGAGATCAGGGTTATTAATGCCTTTATGGATGAGGTTTGCATAAGAAGCGTTGTATGAGGTTAGGCTCTACTATTGACTTAGTTTGTTTATTGTTTACCGATGGATAAAAAAAGAAAATACAAACCTCAGAAAAGTATGACTGGTGGAATCATTTTAAAAGACATTTTACTGAAGACGTATTAGATAGTAATATTGCATAGCTCATCTCAGGAGCTTTGTATTGACGCCTCATTCATTTTATGATGTTTATTGTTCCGAGAAAACTACCTAATAAGTGGAATCAGTTATTGCGCCTAACTTAGTTAGAAAATAAAGATTAAAAACTGTTTATTTTAGTTTTGTGAATCTCATCACTTTGCTAGTATATAGCTCAAAGTCGTCTTTACATGACTAAGATAAAAAAATAACAGTTGCATCATGAACCGAAGAGGGTTTCTGATAAGGTGAAATGTAAGTACTTGAGTGGTTATTTTAGTAGTTTTTAAGATGGCCCTTAAAGTCACTTCAATTTTGAATGAAAGCTTATTTAGACTTGTGAACAACAGGAAATGCTCACATTACCTTTTATAAAATAACTAAAGATATATATGTATATATATATATATATATATATATATATATATATATATATATATATATATATATATATATATATATAACACATTAAGACTTTACTGGGAAGGTGAAATTGTATTTAAAGAATACTATGAGTAAAATGTCTTGTAAATTACTTTGTATAAATATTTTTGTCTAGACAAATGATGTTTCTAACCATTATTTTTAGCACCACCTGTTATATCAAAGGAAGGTAGCGCCGAATTTGAATTAGGAAATCAAGAAGTTGGTTTGTTGACATGTATCATTGCTATCAGTCAGCCACCAGCTAAAATAACTTGGTATAAAGATGGTAGACCTTTGGAACAAATTCCTGGACGTATCAGTTTCCTTGATCATGGACACACAGTTGTAAGTTAATACTAAAAACTACTCACTCATTAAGTTTTAATTTGTCAAACTGTTTGTTGATAATTTAACTTTCGTGTTATTTATTCTAACGAAATGAATTGATTGCACTGTTGAAATATGAGTTGTTTGAACGGATGTTTCGATGTTACCTTGAGTTTCATATCAATGCTATTTGGGTGCTGGTGACTAACTGTGAAATCTGGAACTCACTTTTCGTTCCACTTTGAACTCATCAGTGGACACTCCATAATCAAATTGAGTACATAATTTGATTTCCAGTTGTTATTCATTGTAGACTGACATCACTTGGAGGAACAAAGGAAACCTGGGAGCACTGGACAGCTGTTTCATCCTAGTATGGGACTCCTCAGCAGTGCGCACCCACTACCCCACCAGGGATAGTCCCATACTAGGATGAAACAGCTGTCCAGTGCTCCCAGGTTTCCTTTGTTCCTCCAAGTGATGTCAGTCTACAAAGAATAACAACTTGAAATATTTGCAAATCCCCACAACTCGCTCAAAATTTAATTTGATTTCTCTTAAGATAATCAGTCCAAGCATTATCTTGTAAGAGGTGTGTTCGATAACTTACAGAAAAACACATTTAATTGCTAGTGCTGTTTATGTAACGAAAAAAATAATGGAAACGGTGATTGAGGCTAAAAAAAAGTAAAGTTTTGTCATGAGATACGTACCTATGATTTGATTTACGTAGATTGAAATCTTTAGTTACATAACGTCAGTGTGAATGACAGTGTTATTGAGAAATTCGTGGCTACTAACTCCTCGCCATATCAGTAGGCAAGTTGGAAAATCCAAATTCTTTTTCACGTCTCAATGCTATCCAATGACAGTAATTTAAGAAGTGTTATTTTTGCCAAAGTAATCTTACGCCTAAAAGTAGATTTGTATCTTTGAAGTAAACTGCCATAGGTTTTTAATGATCATAAGCTGTTGATGGATCAAATTTATAGGTATTATTAAACTATCAAAGTATGATTCAGCCAGTGGACTGAAGACTGGTGTACAATAACTGATTATCTGTTAAACTTAGTTGACAAACAGATGATGACTACTGAGTAGTGAACAAATAGGTGATAATAAACTTAAGTGATTTGGAATACCTTACAAAAACCTAGATTTCATGAGATGATAATCACTTTCACTACTGCAACACATTCAATTCAATAATTCCTGAACTAAACGAAGATGAATAATATGAGTTGCATGTGAACATATTAATTAAGGAATACATCATGGATTGGTATTAACTACAGGACCATTAAAAACTAAGGAGAATTAGGAGATGTTTCTTCCTAGTTAAGAAATTTCTGGTTGACGGCGTGAGGATTAAATTCAGGATTTTGAGATCATGAGATGGGTATGTTGACATTTAGCTACTGAATTGAAATCTGATGGTTCATGCTTCAACGTATGAGATACTTTGAAATCAGTAAATTTGGCAGAAGCCTGCAAACTGAGAAGCGGTTCAGTGCCCACTAGTGACTTGTATGGAGATAAATTTCTTGAAATTCTGATGAGAAACCGTGATTGCAAAGCTTATCAAGTGTGTGAAAACAGTAAATCACTAGTGATATTGGATGATATTCGCGCTATATCATGAATTGATAGAAGGAAAAAACACGAACCACTTGATTCGAATCCACTGGCTGAATCTTGAGATGCTCACAACGTTACTCAGAGTTCACAGACTTGATCTTTATGGCTAATAAGTGTGCACTAGGCAAAACAGTCGTTCAGTTCTCCAAGACATTCAATAACTCTCTAGATAATGTCAACTTTTGATAAATACTTCGATGTCAATCTACTACCCATAAGCTTACCAGCCAAAGGATATATTACAAAACACTACAGCACCAAGTGAAACAGTTTCACAACCACTCCTCACCAAGTTATTCATTAAATACTTGGTAGGTTTTACTCAATTGCTGAGTAATCGATCCTTTTTAAGGACAGCAGAAAATTGAACATCACCTACGGGAGATGCATAGAAAAATGGTGCTAAAAATAACAGTCAGACAACCTTGACCGACTTAAGGACAAAAAGTCAGTCACATGAAAAATCTAAACGGTTTATTTTCCCATATTTTCGTGATGTGAAGTACTTATTTGGAATTTAAGGGAATGCCAACACTTCATGCGTAGACGTTCTAATGACGTTCATTGTTAAAATGAAAGTAATAGCAATACGACCGACTTAAAAGGTCACCCTAGCAACTGACGGAACAACAAAACACGTTTCTGTATTCGATAAAAAATTGTCTTCCCAGCCAAAATACCGCAACCTGATTGGTTATTGTGGAGACTTTAAAGACCACCCTAGCAACAAATGAAATAACCGATCTGCCTTTTCAGTCCAAGTTAAGACACCTAATTGACTATTTTAGCTGTTACTGTGGTGACCTTAAAGCCGCCCGTAACAGGTCATCCATTTGAGGAGAGAAGAGTAAAATCAATAATTTTTGAAAACCTGGCCTTAGCCGTGTCATGAATAAAGTGCTCTTGTCACCTTAACGTTGGACTGACCATGTGTGAAGCAATCGAAAAGGTTATTAACGTTGATTTTGTGATCAGCCATCAATAATAAATTCCCGGCTATAGATGGTGCTGGATTCCTATTCGTGTTAAGTACACTCAGTTTAGTCGTATTGTTTGATAGCCACTAGGGAACATGAATTGAATCACTCTGTCAGTTTTACAACTGGAAGTAAACTTTCGAATACAATGTAAGATAGAATTAACGTAATTTCGCTTTTTAATTCTTAGCGTTGAGAGAGAAAATCTCCTTGAGGTTAAATAAAAAGAAGTGGAGTAGAAAGTGCATTCGATAGCTGACCTAAGCTTTTGAACAATCAACTGCATAATTTGATCACCAGTAAATGGTAGTTTAATGAAGATGGCTTTCTTTGTTGCAGTAGCTACTATTACCGCTTCTAGTCATTCTTTATTGTGGCATACAAAGATTTCTTGTGGATAACCATTTGTCTGCGAGGCTGAATGTGGGATATATAGTTCATCATCTAGTGTATCTTCAGTACATAGTGTTGTGACCGAGTGGTGGGGTTGCCCTCGTGGGTATAATGAATACTGAGGCCGAATAGACACCTCAACTGACTACCTTTACGACTGACGTCCCTCAGTACCTTCTACTTCACTGAACCGTGGAAAAACCAGAAGACAAAGACGGCCTGTAACTGCAAGAACAGCGACAACTTTTATTAGGCAAATACCTGACATATATGTCATTTACAAAACTCTCAGAAAGTGAAGCCATAAATGAACCAATCCGATTTCCTGTATGATGTCGAACTTCTTCAATCAGGTTCTCATGTCAACGCATGCATAAATCACGACCTGAACATGATCTGATCATGACTTGAAAACAACTCCCCTACTGGCTGCCTTTTGTCGCTCCGTATCACATAGTCTACGAGTTCTTGAGAATAGACGAGGAACAAAACAACGCTTATACTGAATAAGAACGAAGCCACTGAAATGAAGACAGTGTCCATTTGTTTTTGTTTTTTCAAAATTTCTCTCTTTTAATTGCCCCGTCATCTTGTCTAGCGACTAAAATATTCATATTTAGATGTCATGGACATTTTCCAGCCAATACAAATGAATAAGGCAGGGAATTATTATTAATTGATTTGTAATCATCACCTATAACAGGAGTACCATCTACATAACGTCTATAGACAGTAAAGTTCCGTGACATATCTTTAATTTGTTTTTCCAAACTAGACATAAATTCTGAAATGGTGGCATAAATTCATCAGCTAACAGGTGCTGAAAAGGTCACTTCAATGAAGTACCATCTATGTGTTTGTATGCCTTGTTCTGGAAGTTGTCTGATATTTTCTGTGCATATTACAATGAGTTACTTCATGAGAAAAACTGGTAATACCAGTTGGAGATATATATGTTTATGCAATCACAAACCCACTTCACTGTTTTATATATTGGAAAATCAGTAAACTAAGATTCTATATCGATAGATCATAGTTCGTCATTTTCAGTCTTCATGTTGTTTAGAGTGCCTATATGTTCAGATGAGTTCTTCATGCAGTAACCTGATAAACAATCTTTTACTGGCCTGAGAATTCCCGTAACTCACTAAGTATGTGGTATGAAGAGTTTGACATGTGTAGAATGTATTTTAAAGGGTTCTCAGACTCATGAATTCCCTATAGACCATATAATTTTGGTGTGTTTTAACCCCTCTCAGCTGTTTATAAGTCCACGCATTAACGATTAATCTGATTTCATCAGGTAAGACATCGTCATTTTACTTCATATAACCAGAACATACTGCCGAATAATCTATTGATGTAAACCATGTCGTTCACTGTGCTGTTGTAGAGAAACTGCGAAGGCATATCATCTCATATTTATCTCCCTACTACTTCACGTACATAGGGATATTTTGTCGAAATTCAAACTCCAGAGTTTAAGTACTTTAAGGTAGATTGAATGTCATTTGTCATGACTGCTGTTAAAATTACCACAATTAAGTGTTAATGCAAATCAAAGGCTTGTTAGGTTGACCGACACTAGTAATTAAAACCTGTAGTAAGACAAAAGTTATGCAGAAGTTAGTTTCCAAAAGTATATACACAATTATATGGCTCTTGTGCCCCAGTAACCTAGAGGACAATACTTTGGCGTTTGGATCGATGGGTACTGGATTCAAGCCTCAGAGGAAGCTACATCGCTCACTGGGGTCCAGGTATATCCAGCTAAGGAGTGTCGAATAGGACGAGGTATGCATTCTGGATTTCATTGCTAGCCCCCAAACCGACTAAAACATTTGTTTATTGAGTTTTGATATATTCGGGAGTTCAACTGTAACAGTTTAATAAACGTGAAGATATCTGTGCTGTAAACAACGAATTGCGAATACATCTATGAACTCGGTCCTCGGTTAAACAAGACTACCATTGATAGCTTGACATTTGACTGACAAAGTCAATAACTAATGTTTTGCGTTTTGGAAAATTTACGATTTCTAAAGGTGTAGTATAAGTACTTGACCAGCAGTGACTTATATAAAACTGAGATGTAAATGACTGATTTAAGAACTACTCTCGTTTGAAGCCAATTGTAATCTTGACATAATATCCCATCTACTACAAACAATGAGAGACATGTTCCTTATCACAACTTCCTGTTGTATTTGAAAGATTCAAAGTCTGAAGGCAAACGAAGGTGAACACAGCTAGTTAGTGTGTCATGTCATGCCTGAATATTTAATTCGAAGTTATTTTCTGACCACAGATTTCAATAAAAGCCAACCATATTCATGTTATGCATTCAAGCTACTTATAAATGGAGTTATTTTACTAGCCTTAAAACTAATTGCTGTTTTTCATTTTTGACGAAACTGTAAAAGGGCTGCACAACTTTAGAAAATAACTATATCTACAAAGAAAATTTCCTTTTCAGGGTTGCCTTTTCTCCTTTTATGGCCTAGGGAAAGTTTGGACCGCGTCCAGATTCAAACCAGTGACCATCGGGTTTCAGTCCCAATGCATCAGTAACTGAGCTACGAGGTCCGACTATTCACCAGATCTCTATTTTACTTCAATCACCAAGGGTTTTGCCAGACTACCATGTGAATTCGTGACGCGTTACTACAGCATGATCATACTGGAACTGGCTACATAGTCAGGACTTCTCAAGCCAATCCAAATTTAACTGAATTAGAGAGGGTGCATCATACTGATTATCATTTTGACTATCTGAAATAGCCATAAGTACGATCAAGCATTACGAATTTACATGGTAGTCTAGAAAAACTCTTGGTGATTGAAGTGAAATAAAAATCTGGTCAGGAGTCGGATCTCGTAGCTCAATTGGCAGAGCAATGGACCGAAAACCTGATGGTCACTGGTTCGAATCCGACAGCGGTGCAAATTTCCACTTCACCTTCAATCATCACCCAATATCAACAAATATATAACGATTACTTTCCGTTCTACATTAAACGTGAGGAATGCTTATATTGTAACATCTTTCACTGATGAAGTAACCACAGTGTGTAGTCAAAAGCCAGTTGAATTAGCTTGCAAGTTTTATTAGCCAAATAATAATGAACTTGGGAGAAACAAATACTGTTTACCGTTGTTTAGCGTCATATCAGTAGCCGGTGTAACTGAGACAAGTTCAACTCATGTAGGCGAACTGGTAAAATTGTCCAAAGTAACCGTTTTGCCAAAATATAAGAAAAGAGTTCACAAATTGTTTACTAACTACATGATCTTTGTTTGGATTTTTGTTTGTTAAGCAGTTTCCCAACTACCTAACTATCATATTAGCAGAACCATACATGAAAGTTTAGGTTACTACTTTGATGCAAATGTGTTGTGCTTCTGTGAACAGTGAATATTAGCTGTCAACGGTCACCTAAAAAGAATCTTTTTGTTTTCATTCCTTTGAAATGTTTTAGGAAATACGGGGTAAAGATGAAGATGACTCAGGATCGTATGAGTGCCGGGCTGAAAATGTGGCTGGGGGAGACTCTAGATTTTATCAAGTAACTGTGTTAAGTAAGTTGTCAAGAAATTCAATGTAGATTATTCATTCACTCATAAGAATAATACCATCCAAATAATTACTAACTGATGATATTTTACAATAATTTCTTTAGATATATTCTCTTTCGTAACCGGCTTATTTTTCACATGAGAAATGTTATTAAATTTCCCATAGTTTATGAGTGGGATTTGTTTACAAACAAATGTGTAAGTGATATACTTTGCGTGAATGCAACGTCCTGTTCATGTGAATTCTTGGAAAATTTATTTTCCATTACCATAATTGAATCATACAGGAGAAGAGATCAATGAGAAACTGGTCAGTCCTCCTAAGAGTCACAAATACCATTCCCTGGCAATAATTAAGTCATTTTGAGATGATAGAGAATATTTGTAGCTCTGGAGGATAATTTTGATAAGATTGCTTCCTATTTTTACCTGAGTTCTTTCATCTTTTCTATGTTAGTTATAGTTTCATCTGTAAGTTTTATATTTTCTTCATTCAGTGACCAGTGGCCTGTTGATGATAACCTTATAACCTGCAGAAATTTCCTGTTGACTTAGTCACGTCAGTTAAGCGATAAGTTAACAGATCAAAGCCCCCCTCTTCATCTTTCTAGGTCTGGACAGCCTAGCCGAATAGTGTCATAGGCCCTCAAACTATAGATGTAGATCAGTCCAGTACATAAAACCTGTTCTTAGATGAGTTGCAATGTACAAATCCCCACATTTACCAATGACTGCAGTCATTAGTTGAACATTAACAAATATGTTAGAATGCATATTATACCTTTGTTTGTTAATTACTTAACAAAAAGCCCGATCATTTTCACCACTAATAAATTTGTGTTTCTAAAACTGAAAATATACAACATAAATTGGTAGCTGTTTTGATGTTCTCTGAGTTACCAGTTTTGTTCTTAGACGTTTCACCAACAGACCAGATAACTTCAGCATTTGCCTCATAAGGAAATAAAGGACTTTAAAGTTGAAGAGTATTTATGTAGCATATTTACCGGCATCACCATCATTTGGCCCTCATCACTAATGAGATGATTTGACCTGTGCTACTGACCCAACGTCCAATCATTGGTTTGCTTAATTGGTTTCCAGTTGGCTGATGCCTCCTCATTAGCCAGCATTTTGTCATCTGATTAGAGTAAGTATCCAACATAAACACTTATGTAACTTGAACATTCTTCAATTCCTTATGAATTAAGTGCTGGTGAAGTCACCTGACCTACAGGTGAAATGTCCAGCTGCATGTTGATAAGTATTTGTTTGTATGTATTTGAGGACATCACAATAACATTATCAGTTGCATAGGCTCATAAATACGACTTTGAACAGTAATGATATAACATAGAACATCTAAGGTTTTTACAATTACCTGGCAGGATGATAATTTACGTATGAAGTTTAGTTCAGTTGTGCCAGTGGTTCGACAAAAGGTGGGGAATTAGCAAATATAAATGTTAGCCAATGATAGGTAAACAAAATCTCACACACCAGTGTAATGGTTTAAGCTGTAACACTTTGCTGAAGTACAAGCAAAGAAAGTCAATGACGCATTAAATTATTATTATTTGTCCCTTGGGTTCCTAATGGAACATAGGGCTTCAGTAGCACGTCTCCAGTCCACTCTCTTCTCTGAAATCTTTTGAACCTGACTCCACGACAACCCACAACCTCTCATCTCCTCCTCACACCATCTCCTCCATCTCACACTCTCCTCAGACACCAAACTCGTCGCTTCCCATCAGGGTTCCACTCGAGGACCTGACATGGTGCCTGATGTCACCAGTCCGCCTTCTCAGTGTATGCCCAATCCGATCCATATCCATTTCCTTCCAATGCATAATCGTTCAGCGATAGCTTCTTGGTTGGTTCGCTGCCAGCCAGCCATAGTGAGTTCCTTGTTGCTTATTCTTATCATTCTGGCCATCTGAGCTTCAGTAACGAGCCAGCCTAGGCAGTTGTTGATGAATGTCTGTAGTTTGTTGGAAATGTCTTTCGTAATGCGCCAAGTCTCTCAACCATACAGAAGCACTGACTTGACTGACATTGGTGTTGAAAATCAGGATCTTGTTCATCACGCTTTATGCTGAGTGCACAAGATCTGCACACTGGTTTCCTGCTAATGAACGCCTGTCTTGCTTTTCCAGTCCTGTCTGGCTTTGACTTCCTCGTCTGTGCCACCTGTAGTTGAAACAGTGCTGCCTAGATAGGTGAAGGAGGTTACTTCCTTCAAGTTTCTCCCGTTCATGGTGATTGGAGCTTCTTGTTGTTGGTTGGGTATCTTCATTACCTCAATGACGAATTAAAACCAAGTTAATATCTGCGTATGAACAATCGACCAGGCTTGAATTCGGAGGCATTTTAGCCAAAGCATACGACAAATTATTTTCCTTTCTGTCATCATCTCTTCACACCAAACTTGGCCTAGTAGCCAAGACTATCTTATTTAGCCAAAAACAGAAAGATATGAAAGTAAATATATGAAGAACAGGATCTCATCTAGTTGAAAGTAATCAGCAGGAAACCTTGGACCCAGGTTTCGTGATTACTGACCAGGTTGTGTCTCCAAACTTGATGGGACTGATGTCTCCTGTGAGATTCGAACGTTATCCAAATACCTTAGTGGCAGTGTCACAACACTGCAACATTAGTGGAAATCAATTCCTAGCTGATAAGCGCCAACAAGCATGAAACCTAAGTTCAGGGCTTCCGGCCGATTGCCTCTGACCAAATAACATCCATCAAAGTGCACCGCGACGGTGGGTCTCCCAGCCTGAGGGTTACATTGCAAATTGATAGATCGAATTAAATCAGCCTTTAGGAGTAGACAGCATGGAATTGCCTAATCTTCAGTAATGAATGTAAAAAATAATATTTTCATAAGTTTGGGAGACAAAAGATAGAGAATATGCAACTGCATGATATTGTTTCTTACTCTGTCTGATATTTTAAATAACTTTGTATAATCGCGTCAGTGCCTCCATGGTAAAATATTAACGTCAATGGTATTTGTAAAATATAAGCACTGATATTTAGACATAGTTAGTATTGATGACGCGAAAGAGCCAAAGAAATTGTATAGAAATATAGTGATTTAAATTTGATCAGCAGTACAGTATGTCATCACAGCTAGGGTGAATCAAATTAGAAATCTAACGTAGGTTGTGCTAATAACAAAAATCCGTTTACGTGTAGTCAATCCTAAAATATGTAAAGCAGCTAATCATATAACAGGCCATAGGTAAATATGGGTAAGCGTATAGGTGAAATGAATACTAAATCATGGGATGGTAGAATCACTTGCATAATGGAGTTTACGTTTCGTATAAAGAACACAAACTTATGAAGTCTACTCACCATAGTTGGTTTTACATGTAGTGTTTTCAATTTTCTTTATTGTCACTGGTAATGGAATTTTACAGACAAGTAAAGCAGAATGAAATCAACACTTGTTTCACAAATCAAAGAATATGTTACAACTAGGCTACAGAAATGAAGCCACAACGTTTGCTTTATCAGCTTGATACGATCCTTGACAAAAGATTGTATCTCAAGTATCATCCTATTAGGATACTTTTTTTCTACCCTAGATCCAGGTTTCCAACATTGTTGCACAACCATTTTGCTGCTTCATTGAGTTAGTGACAATATATGACAGATGAGGTCGCGCTTTACAATTAGTGAGGCAGCTTTACGAACAATAATTCTGAGGTTATCAATTAATCTAGACTTTTAATCTATTTTGTAAACCTTAGTCCCACCAGAGATTACAACAATTGGTACATCTACTCGTCGACTTGTTCAACCAGGCCATAAGCTAGAACTTGAATGTGGTATGACCGGTTATCCAGAACCCAAATTAACATGGTATTGGAATGGCAAACCATTATCTGGTACAGATGACCAACAAGAAACAATTGCATCGAGTTTAGGCATGCAAATAATTAATATGAGTCCTGAAAGAAAAGATTTATTTATACAAGAAATGAGCACGGCTCTACAAGGAAAGTAAGTCATTGCGTTTGACGTATACATATGTAGATTGGGATATGTCTGTTGATAAATTTATAATGATTCAATTTTATTATCGGCAAATGCCAGAACCGATGCTGATTGATGACTGGGTGTGAAGTTAAAACCAAAGTTACACCAGGATTTTAACCAGAGGCCTATGGGTTACCGGCCTGGTACTCCACTAACTGAGCTACGATATCCAACTTCTTATCAGATTTTTACTTCACTTCAGTCACCAAAGTTTCTTCCTAGTTGTCAAGGGAATTAATGAAACGTAACTGTTCGTTCACTGTAATCACATTGGCTGCCCAATCAGGCCTACATCAAAAATTAAAGCATGTGATGAAAGATTTGCCACCAGACGCGAAGAATTACAGAGTCTTATCGCTCGGGCATTTCATGCTACGTCTCAGTTGATAAACTCTAAGTAATCCAAAGGGTGAAAAACATAACACTGACATCCATTCTATTATCTCTTGAAACACATTTTCATCCTAACGCATAAACAATGCAGTTTAACTACATGCATGTTCATCTCATACATGAAAGTATGTCAGTAGAGATGGGCATAGTTGTAATATTTGACTTGTTAAAGTTATTTAATTCTGGTAATGGCAAGAAACTTTTTTTGCAAGGAAAAAAATCATAACTTTTAGGAAATTAGTGTGCACGAATTCGACTGTCAACTGTTTTTTGCGATTCACCCTTTCAAACTGAACTTTTAATTCTTTTGTTTAGTTATACGTGTACAGGTATGAATAAAGGAGGTTCAACTGACTTGACGTATGAAGTGATATTACTCGGTAAGTTTCAATAATTATAAGGATTTTTTGACGTATTTATGGTAAATAACTTTTACCTTCATACATCAATTAGACTAATATAAAAGTAATTATTTCACAACAACATATTTTCTACGGCGAATTGAGTCGAATAAGAAAGTCAAGGTAAAAATGTTTTAATTTAGAGGTTTGTGAGGATTTATTTATTGATCTCAGGGTCAGTTCATCATAGACTGAGATCAGCTGCAGAAAAATTGTAAACCTGGAAGCATTGGACAACTTTTCCGTCCTGGTATAGGACTCCTGAGCAGTGCGCATCTATGACTCCGCCAAGTATCGAGCCTAGGACATTCAGGTTCCATGACCAGCACGTAGTCAGTATATCAGATATCACATGGGGAAGATAATTTCAGCTATGTTTTAAGTGACAGGATGGGAATTCTTTCTTAAAGGTATATGTAAATCTAGTCAGCTATGCATATTAACTAAAAAATAGTCAACAATAATGGTGATTACCAGAAAGTGGAAAATGTTAAATATCAGGGTTTTAACACCATGTCGTACCAACACTTTTGAAGATGCTTTTGCCACTTCTGATGCTGTTGAAGCATTAATTTTTTCTTCTGAATTCTAACTGTAATGACACAAATGAATAACGGCTGAGCTTATTTATCTATTTATGTGAGCGGGTAAAAGTCCTCTAGGTTGAATAACTGTCAAAGTGTTGGACAAATTGAAGACTAAATATCTGATTTTCACTTAAATCAACCAACACGACCATTGGGTGACCTTAAAGGCCACCCTAGCAACAAGTGAAATAACCAATTAGATATCTCTGTTTGATGAAAATCCTCCTTTACAGCCAAAACAAAGAAACCTAATTGATTATTTTTATCTTTGCTAGGGTGGCCTTTAAAGTCGCCCCAAACATGAATGTATGGGGTCCCTGACACTAGTCTTAGAATTTCTCAGACTGTTAACTATTTTCTCATTTCAAATTAACTTTAGGTGTAAGTAATAGCACTTGAATCAAACGATTATCCATGTTTATTTAGCTGCTGCCGATACATGACTTAGATTTTTAATTATCAAGCAAGTATTTCTTTTCCTATTCAACTGTACTTCAGAAAAACCTCGAATCGATAGTTTGAATGAAAGAGCTGTTGTATTCGTTAACAATACAATAACATTGACTTGTGAAGCAACGGGCAGTCCACCGCCAAATATTACTTGGCTATTCAAAGGGAAACCACTGGATTTACACAATGATCTAGGGTATCGGTAAGCAAACCATACTGTTTTTTCATTTAACTAAAACAAAACATCCAATGATTTATGAATATATACTTTGATGTATGATGTATATCTCTGTATGCGTACAGCATAAATACCTATGGAAGTTTGTTGTTGTTTTACGTTTATGTGTGCCAAGTTGAATAATTCGCGATGTTAACTCCTTTTTCAGAATAGTCGACTACTGTAACATCATCACAGTGTAGTTAGAAGAGAAAACTAACGCTCATATTTCGCATATTATAAGCTGAATTGACTCATACACCTTTACTTTCCATCTTATTCTTATCGGAAATATTATTTTACTGAACTATTGTGCTGTTAGAAATGGAAAAAACAGTCGTTTTTCGATCCTGTAAGAATGAATACATAGAAATTACCTAAGCTAGCCTGAAGTATTCTAGGTGTGTTTGTAAGGTCGTGATATATTACGACTGCTTCAAAGTTAACGGTAAAAATAATTCATAAATATTTTGTATCACACCTCGATGTTCCAGCTTCTCTAAGTAAATAATTTTCGAGGGAGTGTAAAGGTTTCAGCTTATGATTCTTAAGTTTGGTAAATATGAGAAGTTCGTAGTAGTGTTGAAAATTTCAAGCTCAGGGCGTTGATTATAACTCCTTTTTGTACTTTCAACCTTGACATTTTCTCATAAGCATTTTGGCACGACACTGTATAAATCCAAAAACATTTACTCCATAAATAAATTAAGCATTTTCAATCTTCATGAGTATTTATGCTGAGTATTTTCTGACCTTGAGAATTACTGGTTGTCGATGAAGGTTATTACTGAGTTATGCACTCAATAGTCTGACTCTTATCTTGGTTCATGTTCTAGGTAAAAGACCTTGGTCGTGCTAATAAGTGATCTACGCCGATCTAGTGCTGATTTACTTATTGAATTGAATAATTTTCCGTTGTATGACTAACGGTTGGATTCTGTTTTTTAACCGTGCACTGGTTTTACACCTACTTTTCTGTTGACAGCAAATCTATAAGAATTCCAAGGTTTAATAACATTCTGACAACTAAAAGACGGTGGAAATTGGTGTATGTCAACGGTATTGTTGTAGATCCGTTCATCCTTCATTTGAATATTTCGAACAGTTGGTTTTCAAATTTATAAAATGGTCTTTTTACTCATTATTTTACAACTTCAATTTAGGATTTCACTTCGCTTACTTACTGTCGTTTATATCATCAGGATATATGGGAATTTATACTGTCATAGTGTTGTGGTTAGTTTTAACCCACTTTAGCGATAACTAAATATTTCCTTGAAAATCTGGTTATTCTATTGATTGATTATTACGTGACACAATTGTGATGTACTACTGGTTACGTTCATTCCTATTTGGAACAAATTTAGGATGCTATCACAGTAATTGAAACTTCAGTTTTTCCTAAATTCGGTTAAGTATAAAAAATTAAGACTTTTCTAAGTATTGTTTTGTTTTTAGAAGAAAAGAGAATATTCGTAGCGGACAGACTGAATTATATAAACATATGTTTTAACTGGTTTCCGTTTCCTCATGATAATACTACGTAAACTGACAAGTAAAAATTAGAAGTGTGTGATATTTTAGGGTGATACTTTTTTAAGCTAGGAGAAACAACTGTCTGTTACAAACAGTCATCTAATCTATGCGTATGACCGTCTTATTGGTAAGTATTGTGTTCGTGTGAAAACTACACACCGGAAGTATAGATGGCAAATGAACTTTCAAAAAAATAATAACTTTTCTGTTCACATATGTTTAGCAACCAATGAAACAATTTTCGGAAGTTAAGAATATGTGAAAAATGGCTACTTAATATGTTTCAAGAAGACTTATCTGCCAGACTAAAGGGGCGTATATGCACAATCTGGTTGATTCATGTATTTTTTTTCTGTAAAAGCCATAACCAGATATCTGAAAATGATAAGGAATAGCTGTAACTGGTTGTTTCTCTTATCATGCCTAATACCATATCTGTATGTGTGAATTATAGTCCAACGTTTTATGTTTTTCAACTAAAAAGATTATGAAGGATTTGACTTAATCATTTTAATTTTAAACTTGTTTCGCACTACTATCCTTTCAATGATAATCTAAGTCGATAATTTGAGCCAATATGTCATGAGTCTCTATCATCTTAGACCCCTTCATCAACTTTACAAATTATAGCTATTCCCAGAGCCTCTGCTAATTATTACCGCTTCTTAATGTCAAATAGCATATAAGTATCATCTTCCTACTAATAAAGTAAAACCTGACTTATTTTTTATCTTAAATTAGATTAGTTGGTCCAAAAAATTTGATGCTTTTATCAGCGAAGCCCTACCAAGGTGGTGAATATGAATGTCTTGCAGAAAATGAAGCTGGAACAGCACATGCGTTAACTATTTTAACTGTTTTTGGTGAGTATTAACATTAAACATTTAATGAAGACATTTTCCTCATTGTTAGTGTCGACTTATTACTAAATTATATTTTTGGTATGTAGATATTTGCATTGAAACATACCTCTGATATCTGACTAAAAGATATTCATAGACGTTTTGAATAGTTTTAGACTGTAGGTGATGTGATATGATGTGGGTTATTGTTAGTGGATTATTCATTATTTGATCAAGTGCAGACTTGATGAACAAGAGGATACTGAATCACATGATGCCATAATTCTATGATTCGATGAGAGTTTCAGAAATCTTTAGCCAAAGCAAAACTACTGCATAAAAGCACTAACCTAGTGCACTTAATGCAAATTAAGCAATACGTAGATTTGTTAAACACAAAATGAGGCATTCCTATTATGAAAGAAAGACTGCTTTAACAAAGGTAATTACAAAACGAAAGTCGTTTTGGTTTTCTCTCCATCTTTAGGAGTCCTCTATTTTCTTACTGGTTATTCATATATATATATATATATATATATATATATATATATATATATATATATATATATATATATATATATATATATATATATACATCGGAAACACTTTAGTCTCAATCACCCAACTAAAACAGCAACCTGAAGAGCATGATGGCACTTCTCACGTTAGTGATTTCCATCTTCACAGACATCGTCGTCAGAAACAGAAACCAAGAGACTAATTTGTACAGTATAGCCGCCAAAATCAGTAACCTTATATCCCTGATCGTAAGAAGCTGGAAATTCTGAACAGTTCTGCTGTGTATAATCATGATTGTTGGAAATGCATCTGCGAAATCTTCCCAGAACTCACGTTAACTTTGAAATTCCAACCCACTTTATTCCTCACCCCAATCAGCTCCATTAGAACTAAGTTTTCGGATGAGGGAGTTTTGACGATCTTATCGAACCTTTTGGCAACAAACACTTTATGTTTTCACGCTGAGATTATATTCAAATAGTTTTTGTATGAGTTTCCTTTTATCATTGCTTCTCATTTTGAACTAAATATGTATAAGTATCAGAGGTTAAAATGACAGTGTAGTGGGTTTCGACTGGATGTTTCAGAGTGTTTTTGCTAACTGACCGATTCTATATGAACAGTTAGTGATTCCATTAAAGTAAGTACTTCAGAATGACCTTTTCGAAAATAAATCTAACAAAAGGGAAGTAACTAAGGTGAGTGAGGAGACGTTTTTCATTTAGAAAGTGAGTTACGAAACCAGGATATGGGTGGTTAGTGATGAGGAATTTCTACATTTTAGACGGTTAGCCTACAAACTATCTCAGATATAACCTCAGATGTTAGTGTTACCTACACAGCTTCGTTAAGATTGATATCTGAGAACAATTCTAAAACAACTGACAGGTAATCTTAACGCATTAACTAACGAAAGTGCTCCAAAACTTTCGACCTCGTTATACTTTCGCTTTCATATTTATTTCTCATCTCTCATAATTATTCAAACTAAATGCCAAGTGGCAAGTGAATACTCAAAGTTAATTTTTGTCCAGAATACTTCCATCCGAAGCTTGTGTTCTAAATGGATGTCGGTGAATCAACTGTTTTTCAAAGTGATAATAGAACATCTGCTGACTAAAACTGAAACTCAGCCATCAAATCATTTTAAAAATCCATCACTATACAAATATTGTGCATTGTACTGGTTATGCGTGATGAGATTAATGCAGCCCATATTCTACCGTCTTTTTAAGTAGGTAAATATTTTACCTACAAAGATTTAAACAGTTTAACGAAAACTTAATAACATTGCATTATTTATGATAAACTGGTTGGTTGTGGCTAGCAGAAGAGTCCAGGAAGCATTTTTCGTCCTATTTGGGACTCATCAGCTGGGTGCACCTGCACCCAAGTGATGTTGTTCCCACTGGGACTCCAACCGCGTACCCATCGCTTCAAACACCAAGGCGTTATTCACTATGCCACGGAGGAACGATAGCCGCTTCATGTACAACGGGTAGTAGTTATTACTACCTATTGAAATCCTTATTATTCTCTGTTGTTTTGTTGGATCGAATTGTTCGACCTCTATTGGCATATGGGCTCCTATGCGGATACCTGGATGTTGCCTGAATGTTAAATATGATAAATTGGTTGGTTGTACAAGAAGTGGCTATCGCTCCTCCGTAGCATAATGGTAAACGCCTTGGTATTTAAGTGGTGGGTACGAGGTCCGAGTCCCAGCGGGACAACATCACTGGGGTGCAGGTACATCCAGCTGACGAATTCCAAATGGGACGAAACGCGATTCCTGGATTCTTCTGCTGGCCACAACCAACCACTTTATCATAATTAACATTCAGGCAATATCCAGATATCCGCATAGGAGCCTATATGCCAATAGAGGTCGAACAATTCGATCCAACCAAACAACGGAGAATAACAAGTATGTCAATGAATAGTAATTGCATTACTTGTCACCCAATAAAAAATCGTGTTGGTAAAAAATTCCTATAATTGATAGATTCTTGAGCTTTTTTAGTTTACTTGAATTCTTCCTGTCAGCATTATTATTATTATTATTAGTCCCTTGGGTTCCTAGTGGAACATAGGGCTTCAGTAGCACGCCTCCAGTGACCTCTGTTCTCTGAGATCTTTTGAACCTGGTTCCACGACAGCCCAGAAGCTCTCATTTCCTCCTCGCATGACCTCCTCCATGTCACCCTCGGACGTCCAACTCGTCGCTTCCCATGGGGATTCCACTCGAGGGCCTGACGCGTGATGTCCTCAGTCGGCCTTCTCAGTGCATGGCCAATCCATCTCCACTTCTTCCTGCATATTTGTTGCGTGATAGGTTCTTGGTTGGTTCGTTCCCAGAGTTCCTTGTTGCTTATTTTTTCTGGCCATCTGATCTTCAGCAGCGAGCGTAAGCAGTTGTTGATGAATGTCTGTAGTTTATTGGAAATGCCTTTCGTGACGCGCCAAGTCTCTGAGCCATACAAGAGCACTGACTTGACGTTGGTGTTGAAAATCCGTATCTTGTTCCGCATGCTGAGTGCAGAAGATCTCCACACTGGTTTCAGGCTAATGAACGCCTGTCTTGCTTTTCCGATTCTGACTTTGACGTCCTCGTCCGTCCCGCCTGTAGTTGAAACAGTGCTTCCTAGATAAGTGAAGGAGGTTACTTCCTTCAAGTTTCTCCCGTTGACGGTGATTGGAGTTTGTTGTTGTTGTTGATGGTGGTGGTGCGGTATCTTCATCACTTCTGTCTTCTCTATATTCACCTGAAGTCCCGTCTTAGCTGCCTCTTCTGTCAACTTGTTAGTTTTTGCCTGCAGATCTTCAAGTTTATGTGACATTAGGCATAAGTCATCGGCGAAATCCAAGTCTTCTAGGTTCTTTTCCGTCGTCCAGTGTATCCCCCTCTTCTCGCTGCCTACTGTTTGCTGCATGATCCAGTCCACCACAATAAGGAATATCATGGGGGATAGTAGGCAACCTTGTTTCACTCCTGTCTTCACTTCAAAGGCATCACTGAGCTTCCCATTGTGGATTACTTGGCATGTGGCATCTTCATATAGTTGTTGAATGAGGCGGATAAAGGTTTGCGGTACTCCGTAGTATTGAAGCAGTTTCCAAATTACTTCTCGGTCGACGCTGTCAAAGGCCTTCTCAAAGTCGATGAAGTTGAGGTATAGAGCTGATTGCCATTCTACGCTCTGTTCTATGATGATACGAAGCGTTGCAATTTGGTCAGCACATGATTTGTACTTCCTGAAGCCTGCCTGTTCCGGTCGCAGTTTTGAATCCAGTGCGTCTTTAAGCCTCTCCAGGATGATGCGGCTTAATATTTTACTTGGGGTGGACAGGAGAGTGATTCCGCGCCAGTTCTTGCAAGCACTGAGGTCTCCCTTCTTCGGCAGTTTGACAAGGTAACCCTTCTTCCAATCGTCAGGTACCTTCTCTTCCCTCCACACCTTCTGCAATAGTGGTGTGAGCATGTCCGCTGTTGTCTCTGCATCTGTTCTCAGTGCTTCTGGCGGTATTCCATCTGGTCCTGCTGCTTTCCCGCATTTCAGTAGCTTTATGGCGTTCAGGACTTCCATTTTCGTTGGGGGATTTATGTTCACTTGTAATTCAGCGGCTGCAGGTGGTATTTCTGGACGAAGTGCAGGTGGTGGTCGATTCAAGAGCTTCTTGAAGTGGTCGGCCCATCGTTTCCTCTGTTTCTCTTCTTTTGTAATTAAATTTCCTTCTTCATCTTTTATTGGTTTCATCTGTGTTGGTCTCTTCCCTGATAGCAACCTGGTTATTTGATACAATGTCGTCAGGTCTCTCTTACCTGCAGCCTGTTCTGCTTCACTTGCCAGTGTTTCGTAGAAGTGTCTTTTGTCTTTGCGTGCACTCTTCTTCACTTCTTTGTCCAGTGTTTTATACATTGTGCTCAGTTCCTCTTGTCGTTGAGCATCCTTGCACTGGTTTATCTTCTGCTTCACCATCCTCCTCTCCTCTATCAGCTTCCAGGTATCCGTCGAGATCCATTCCTTGTCTTCTTTCTTCTTCCTTCCTAATACTGTTGTGCAGGTTTCTTTCCACATAGCTTTCAAAGACTTCCAGTGTTCTTCCACACAGGTTTCTTCAGGGATGTCCCTCGACGTCTCCCATTTTGTCTTGATGGCTGCTTTGAAGATCTCCTTTGTAGTTTCATCCTTCAGTTTCCGAGTGTTGTACTTGAATTGAGGTCTATCACCAGCTTCCTTGAAGGCTTTTAACTTGATTTGGAAGGTTCCTTGCACTAGATAGTGGTCTGAACCTACATCTGCTCCTCTTCTTGACCTTGTGTTAAGTAGACTGCGTCTCCATTTTCTTGAGATTGAGATAAAGTCGATTTGATTTTTAGTGTGTCCATCTGGTGAAGTCCATGTCGCTTTGTGGATATCCTTGTGCCTGAACACACTGCCTCCAATCACCAAATCGTTGAATGCACAGAATTCTGCAAACAATTCTCCATTCTCATTCATTTCACCTAGCGCCTCTCGACCCATGGTTAGTTCTCTTCCCGTGTTGTCCCCTCCCAGTTTGGCATTCATGTCGCCCATTAGAATTTTGATATCGCCAACTGACGTCTTGTCCAGTGTTGATTGAAGTTGTCTGTAGAATTCCTCCTTTTTCTCTTGCTCTGCATTATTTGTAGGTGCATAACATTGTATGATTGTGACCTTTCTTCCTTTTGAGTTGAATCTTGCTGTCATGATCCTGGAGGAGATTGGTTCCCACTGCATGAGAGCCTTCGATGCTCTTGAGGACATCATGATAGCCACTCCCTCAGTGTGCTCGTGGTTGGCGTCTGGGTGACCGGAGTAGATTATTGATTCTCCAGTTGACAGTTTGGAGAGTCCACTCCCATTCCATCTGCTTTCGCAAATCCCAAGCACTTCGATGTTATACCTTCTCATCTCCTTTGCAATCTGGGCTGCCTTACTGGGTTCAAACATGGTGCGGACATTCCATGTCCCCACGTTTACTTTCGCTTTCATCGAGAGAAGACACATCGGCCAATTGGCTTCCCGAAGGCTTTCACCAACTGGCGTCATTTCGCCTCTCCGATTCCAGCGGGGAATAAGTTTGTTTTCATTTTTTATATTTTGTTTGTGCTTTGAAGTTTCTTTAGCGGTTAGATTTGTTTTACGGGGTAGGGTTGCTAGCCCTATGCCCAACCTTCCCTCTTTACCCTCTTTACTAGTTAACCAGGCGAGGTTTTCCTGTCAGCATAAAACATGAGAAAAAACTTATTAGCTTTTAAAAACTTCCAAACAGGTTGAATAAGATATATTTATTTTGTCTGAATAAAGACTCATTAGCTAGATATACCTGGGTTTTTTTCGGTTAAAATTCTTACTATAAATCTTGACCACCACTATTGATGATTACTCTATCTGGTACACTAAATAGACTACATCAGTCACTTAATTCGCTGTATGATGATGCTTATTATTTTTAAATTATTCTTCTTATTTTCATTGTTTTTATTAAGAACCAACTGGTGAAAGAAATATGGCACAAAATCTTACAATTAGAACAATACATATGGGTGGAAATATCACATTCACCTGTGTTATGAGTTCGAATCCACCAGCGCAAATTAAATGGTTTAAAGATGAAGAAGACATTTATAGTGTTATGCCACAAGGTAAGAAATGAATAGTTTCTTTTAAGCAAACAAATATTTTAGCACTGAAATTGCATCTAAGCTTAAACTGACTATTTCACATTGCTTTATGGATGAATAAAGTGTAATTTACTCGATAATGTCAAGCCTGGAAATGTCATGAATGTTGTGGGAAAAACATTCATCTTGTAGGAGACGAAAACTACCACATCAGATGAAGGGAACTACAGAATTCACTAAGCTTCCTAAACGAATTATAGGTTTTAGGTTAACACCATAAAGTATATTCGATATAGAATGGCTTATCAATAATGTTTAAGGGAAGTAAAGTCTACTCAGTGGTCCTATACTTTTATACAGAGAAAATAATTTTCTTTTTCTAATATATACTAGCCAGTTAAATGTTTGCATATACCACTTAAAGTCATCAATCTTGAACTTTTGTTACAAACATCATGTTTTTTTAGTTTAAAATGAGTGGTTTATTTGATACGAAGCCAAATTTATGCATTTCGACTCATAATGTTATGCCTCGTAACAAGTTTGTTAACACTATTTTTGAAAAATGCTCAACGTAACATAATTTGGCTGTTGTAAAATTTCAAGTAATGATTTTAGGATGACGAAGAATCAAGCTCATTCAAAAGAGAATTCTGTCACTTGGGAAGTCAACAGTACACTACAGTACATTTATATTTATTAATGAATTACATACTACTTTAAGTCGTGAATGATGATACAGTGACTCAAATATACTTGAATACATAGTATCATGAGATTAGAACCTTTTCTTCCAATAATATGAACGAGGAAGTATACTAAACTATATAGTTTTTCTTTTATCTTACAGATCGCTTTTCAATTAGTGCTGATGGGTCAGCCCTAACCATACTTGATGTTCGTCTTGAGGACCAAGGTCAATTTAAATGTCTTGCCGTCAACATACCTGGATCCTGGAACTATCATTATACACTTGAAGTAACATGTAAATGCATTATTCCACCTAGTTAAACACTAAAAGTTTTTTAAAGATTTTTAATGCTTACTTTATCCAACCTATATTCATCTTCATAACAGTCGTGTCTGTTGGAAAAATTCACCTTTTCTACCTAGTGAATTCGACAGTGAATTCAAGTACTGATTACAAAATTGGTAGCGGATAGCAATAGAATCAGTAAAGTGTATTTCGTTCATCCTGGAACGTTTAATCTGGAAATAACTGTAACTAAATTGGTGTTCTCATCGAAGCAAAAACCTAGCACCTTTCGTACTGAATTCGATTGCACTATTCACGAGAAAAGGAGTTACGATAGACCTATCTTGTTCTGTCAGTATCGGTTTAACACTGGAATGCAAATATTTAGTGCAACAAATGGTTGAATAAATGTGTGGTGTCTTCTGTACACATAACCATCTCAGTAATTCATCCGTACACGATCATCTAGGATGTTATCCTATTCTTAAATACTTGGTGTGAACTAACAGTTTAAATACATATATATACGTATTCGTCCTCCACTCCAGAAAGCGCGAAATCTAAATCCAGGGCTTCCTGCCAATCACCTCCATTCAACTAATATCATTTAACTTAGAGCAATAGCACATTCAGTTCATCACTAAGAATTTCTAACCGAAAAAGACACCATGGGGTTATAATATACTACTAACTTTAGTAATCTAGGAATCCGTTTGAATGGTGTGATATCAAAATCCATTCAAAAAAATTCCATTTTAGTAGATTTAGAGATGTATCACAGTGAGACAGTATTATTTGTGGATTACGTTTCGAACACAATTTATTCTCCATATTCATATCAACGTAATTCCGCAACTTTGACAAGACTGACCAATTATTGGACTCTAGACAGACAGATCTTGGTAAGATGGACATTAGTAAGTCTTTTGACACACGGCTTAATTAGTTTAATCTTTTCTCCTACTTTGTGATTTAGCAATAGTATTTTTGAAAAATTCGAAACAGATATTGAGTCGTTCCTGTCGTATATATTCACCTCTCCGCCCCACTAGGTTAGTTTTATGGATTGTTACTCTGTCGCATCCTGTCAAAGTGCCACACCTGCGATTGCTGAAACAACCAGTAAGGTTTTTGAATTTCTGTTAGAAAGGCAGATTTTCATAAAATAAAGAAATCTAATTGGTTATTTTTATTGTTATTATGGTGGTCTTTGGAATCATCCTCCTCTTATATGTTTGCATGTAGCTTTATGCATCGCGATAGTCGAGCTTTTCTCGAGGTACCTTATCTTACTAGGACCTAAGAATCTTGATTTAGCTAGGGTTTTGTGCTTCCATCGAAAAATGAATCACTTGCTTCATCTTTCTATGAACAGTTAACTACAATGCACGTTTCTTCGGAAAAGGGTAATGAAAAGGTAATCATGCCTAAGTACGTGACAACAAAATTGATATAGCTCTCGAGAACCGAGTAAATTGTATTCATTTTTGCTTTTATACTACTTACACCTTCTAAGTAGCCACAGTTAATAGTATAATCATGACGGAAGCTCACTAATCATTCTTCAGTCATATATATATGAAATAACAATAAAATGAATATATCAAACTTTGAAAAAGATAAAATAAGTTCTTTGCAATCCGAATTAACTGTTAGATATATTTTTTATCTTTAATCTTCATAGCGTCTCCTGGTATATTAAGACATTCGTCCTCTCCACCTAAAGTGAATGTCAACGATGGCCAGGAATTACGTCTACAGTGTCTAGCTACAGCAAACCCAGAGCCAATCTACCAGTGGTTGAAAGATGACACACCTCTGGGTCTACATGTGCTAGCCATGTCGCCAAATGAAGGCATAGATTCTCTACAGCTCGTACAGATGTTGCCAATTTAAGCAGCCGTTATGAACTTCATGATCAAGGACGACTTTTATTAATAAGAGGTGTTCAAACACATGATGCAGGACGATTCACTTGTGTGGCTAGTAATCCCGTTGGAGAAGATAGACTAGATGTCGAAGTTCAAGTTTCATGTGAGTATTTTCATTTTCATTTATTGCTACTATCAAAACCGTGAAATTTACTCGAATTCAAGAAGTCTTTTCTCAAAATACGTAGTATTCATTAACGTCTACTCTGGATAATTTCGTTGACAGGTTACTACTGTGTTATACAATTATTTAATGGTTAAATGGCGGTTGAAGCATAAAATACTGTTGCTTGCGAAATATCATTTTATTAGAATTCAATTTGTGGATCAGTATTCCTCAAATTTGACTCAAGTTATGATCAATGAAACTGATCTTCTACATGAATATTGCTACATATCTATATGTTTTTCTTCTGGAAACTAAAGTATTAGCATTATGACAACGCTAGTTTCTATTTGTGGGTTTTATTGACTTTAAAGCACAGTACCTAAGAAGTTTGAAGATGGTTAATCGATGCATGAAACGGGATGGATCCCATGGTGGTAGGACAACTTTAATTGAGAAGAGTTGGACAAAAAGTCAAGGCAAAGAGGCCATTATGGCTTGTCAAGCAGTATAACTGTGTAAAGAATTGATTTTTGCATCCCTTAAACGTCACTGCATAGAACTGCATCAGTGAAAGACCCTAATACTCTGAAATAGACAAAACTTCACCTCAGCGTTATCCTCAGCAGTTAAGGTATTAGTTCTGACTCAAAGGAAAGCTGTAAGGACCATTCCTACAAACCATAAACATCAAGCAGCTTTATACGAAACTAACTTCTTAATAAACCAGCATTTTCAAAATGTGTGCCTCCTAAAATCTTATTAGAATCCTTCCTAGATTGAGCTGCACCTTTCCAGAATAAATTGTAACTTTTTTTGTTTTTACATGCAGCAAAATCGTCTTTGCACTTCATTTGGTCATTTTGAGGTCATTTAAGTAAGGCATGATCCGGCAGGATTTTCAACATTCCAACGACTTTATATTCTTAAATATTAATTTAAGTATTTAGGTTCCACCTATTCCAAGTTACCGAATCGCACTTACTTTGTTATACAATCACATATGCTAAAAAAACTACCTACAGACTAAAGATAAGTGGAATCCACGTAAAAAAAGGGAGGAATTTCCATCCTCGAGGCTAGTGAGGGTCTTCATACAGTCTGGAAGAAATTCATTAATAAGCAGTTGCTACAATTAGCTTCAAAGCACAAACAAAATATAAAAAATAAAACCAAACTTATTACTCGCTGGAATCGGAGAGACGAAATGACGCCGGTTGGTGAAAGCCTGACTTCGGAAGCCAATTGCCCGATGTATCTTCTCTCCCTCAACACTCGGAAACTGAAGGATGAAACTACAAAGAAATCTTCACGGCAGCCATCGAGACAAAATGAGAGATATCGAGGAACATCCCTGAATAAACCTGTGTGGATGGAACACTGGAAGTCCTTGAAGGAGATGTGGAAAGAAACCTGCACAGCCGTATTAGGAAGGAAGGAAGAAGAAAGAAGATAAGGAATGGATCTCAATGGATACATGGAAGCTGATAGAGCAGGGAGGGAAGTATGGTGAGGCAGAAGATAAACCAGTGCAAGGATGCTCAACGACAAAAAGAACTGAGTACAATGTATAAAACACTACACTGGACAAAGAAGTGAAGAAGAGTGAGAGAGAAAAGACAAAAGACACTTATGCGACCCACTTGCAAGTGAAGCAGAACAGGCTGCAGGTAAGAGAGGCAGAGAGCGAGAGAGAGAGAGACTTGACAACATTGTATCAAACAGCCAGGTTACTATCTGGGAGGGGAGAGATCAACACAGATGAAACCAATAAAAGATGATGATGGAAATTTAATCACGAAAGAAGAGAAACAAAGGAAACGATGGGGTGACCACTTCAAAAAGCTCTTGAATCGACCACTAGCTGCACTTTGTCCAGAAATACCACCTACAGCCGCTGAACTACTAGTGAACATAAATCCTCCAACAAAAGTGTAAGTCCTGAACGCCATAAAGCTACTGAAATGCGAGAAAGCAGCAGGACGAGATGGGATCCCACCAGAAGCACTGAAAACAGACGCAGAGACAACAGCGTACATGCTCACATCACTATTGCAGAAGGTGTGGAAAGAAGGGTTAACTTGTCAAACTCCCGAAGAAGGGAGACCACAGTGTTTGCAAGAACTAGCGAGGAATCACTCTCCTGTCCACCCAATGCAAGCAAAATATTAAGCCGCATCATCCTGGAGAGGCTGAAGGATGCACTGTATTCAAAACTACGACCGGAACAGGCTGGCTGGCTTCAGGAAGTACAAATCATGTACGGACCAAATTGCAACGCAACGCTACGCATCATCATAGAACAGAGTATAGAATGGCAGTCAATCCTCTACCTCAACCTCGTCGACTTTGAAAAGGCCTTCGACAGCGTCGACCAACAAGTAATTTGGAAACTGCTTCAACACTACGGAATACCACACACATTTATCAACCTCATTCAACAACTATATGAAGACGACACATGCAAAGTAATTCACAATGGGAAGCTCAGTGATGCTTTTGAAGTGGAGACAGGAGTGAAACAAGGCTGTCTACTATCACCCATGATATTCGTGATTGTGGTCGACTGGACTGGACCATGCAGCAAACAGTGGGGAGCTGTGAGAAGAGGGGGAAACGCTGGCTGGACCGCGGAAATGAACCTAGAAGATTTGGATTTCGCCAGATGACTTGTGTCTGATGTCACACAAAATTGTAGATCTACAGGCGAAAACTAACAAGTTGACAGAAGATGTAGGGCAGGGCAGCGAAGACGGGAATTCAAGTGAATATAGAGAAGACAGAGGTGATGAAGATACCCAACCAACAACACCACCAACAACAACATGCTCCAATCACCATGATCGGGAGAAACTTAAGGGAAGTAGCCTCCTTCACCTATCTAGGCAGCATTGTCTCAACTATAGGTGGCACAGACGAGGAAGTCAAAGCCAGACAGGACTGGAAAAGCAAGACAGGCGTTCATTAACCGGAAACCAGTGTGGAGATCTTGTGCACTCAGCATAAAGCGTGAACAACATCCGCATTCTCAACACCAACGTCAGTCAAGTCAGTGCTTCTATGTATGGTTGAGAGACTTGGCGCATTACGAAAGGCATTTCCAACAAACTACAGACATTCATCAACAACTGCCTAGGCTGGCTCGTTACTGAAGCTCAGATGACCAGAATGATAAGAATAAGCAACAAGGAACTCACTGTGGCTGGCTGGCAACGAACCAACCAAGAAGCTATCGCTGAACAAATATGCACTGGAAGGAAGTGGAGATGGATCGGATTGGGCATACACTGAGAAGGCGGACTGGGGACATCAGGCACCATGTCAGGTCCTCGAGTGGAACCCGATGGGAGGACGAGTTGGGCGTCCGAGGAGAGTGTGAGATGGAGGAGATGGTGTGAGGAGGAGATGAGAGGTTGTGGGCTGTCATGGAGCCAGGTTCAAAAGATTTCAGAGAAGAGAGTGGACTGGAGACGTGCTACTGAATCCCTATGTTCCATTAGGAACCCAAGGGACAAATAATATAATACAATTATGATTCCATTTGATAAGTTTGATAATATGACTTACCTATTTATAGCAAACATGACTTTGAAACTACGTAATGAGAATACGATTTGTTGGGTTAGATGACGTCATCCTAGTTCAGAGAATTATCGTAAGCTGCATACAACCGGAATAAATAAAGAAGTGGCTAATCACTATGTGGAATTTTAAAATACCTTATAAGATTTATTCTAAGATATCAAGTGATGTAGTGACGATATTGAAAAATACATCGCTATTTAGAATGCAAAAGGGGTTCATGTATTAAATCCAGTTAAACTAGGTACATATCGTGTAAGGCATGGTAAGAAATGTTCACAAATGAATAAGATGAGGATTAATTAGAAGCGGAATATCAGGTTAATGAGGTAAACTCCTTCATGGTAGTTAACAAACAAAAGACGTTGCGCTTACTTCCAGTTGTCAGGGCTACCACTATCCAACGGGTTCAACGTAAAGTTTATTCTGTAGGAGACAGTAACCAACTTATCACTACCCTCGTAATGAGTATCTTTTCAGCCACCCACCTTTAGCAAACAAAATAATTTTTAGCACCTTTATTTTATGCTTGTCCTCTTCCATATTCAGATTGACTACCTTTTCATTAATACTCTGTTTGTTACTATTACTATAGTTTTATCTCACCAACTAATCGTATGATTAGGTAATCTCCTCTACTTAGTTCTAACCTTATTCTATTTGTGAACATTCCTCACTTTGCTTCGCACAATTTGCACCTAATTTGACTGAGCTTATTACTGGAACATCCTTTGTATTCTGAATTGAAATCTCTACATAATGTTCAAAACATTAATTGGTATCTTAAGATGCATCACAAAAAGTGCAGTAATCCTCGTTGTTGTGACTTATTCAGGTTGTACACAGCTGATGAAAGCTCTGCAAAACGAAATGACATCATCTTATTCAGCAAACGGCTTTCTTGATACTTAATTCAAGTTTATTCAGAAGGCTGAAAGTATGAAATCAGCTAGATGTTGGATCTTGAAGCCAATTATGCAAAAATAAGCATTTATCCACTTATCCATTAAATTCTTCTTATTTTTTTCCAGCTTCTCCTAGATTTCTTGATGGCTTAGACCATGAGTCCCCAGTACTAGAAAGAGGTAAACCGAGTTATTTGTGGTGCAATGTCACTGGACACCCGGAACCAGAAATCCGTTGGGAATATGTGAGTTCATGTAACAAAATTTGTAATTAGCTTATCAAAGGGATGTCAGTGAGTCATCTAAATTTTAACTATGCTGGTTTTAAGAACATCAGTGCAGACAATAATCAAACTCATATTATAAGGTGTATTTTTACTTGTCTAATCCCGGCGTAGTTTATTTTATTTGTTCTCATATACTACGCCACGATTACAAAAATAAAAATGCACTTTATACGATGAATGATACTAACGTGGTGCTTACATTTTCCAAACCATCCACTTCATTGTTGGTAAGGATATGTTCAAAATGATAAAACTGTTATATCTGTCAAATATCATATATTGGTTAGCTATTGTGCTTGTCATTATAACATCAGGAATTTGTTTATAATACAGAATCAAAATAATCATTGACAGAGTGTGTAACTTTAGTAAATAATGAATGTTTCAAAACAATAGTATATGAAGTTGACTGAAGGTGGAATCACACCAGCAGAGAATTTTTCAAAAAGTTATCACTTAGTGTGTATTTCAGCGAAATAACACAAAGCAGCAATATAGAAAATCAGGTGGATAGTGGTAAACGTTTTCATGGTGTGAATTTTGTTTGGACATGCCTTTGAAAATTTTGCAAAAGAAACTAATTTCAAAACTGAGTACCTTAGTAACAGTAACTGGGATTTCAGAGGAAGAACTTCTAGATCACAGGTTCCATACTACCTTACAGGACGGAATCATCTGAAGTTCATACTCAGTGCCAGTTGCATGATCGACCATCTACAATTCGTCAGCTGAAATAGAATAATTCGTCAATGATCAATCTGGAAGAAAAACAAATAGCAAACTCACTTATCTCGTCAGACCTTTAGTAAAAAGAAAATGCCACAAGCATTATTTGACCCACATGGGGAGTAAAATGACTAGTGAAGCTAAAATCTATTTTAAAAAAGGGTCAAGTGTCATTATTGCAGTTACGCAAAGAGAGTGACTATATTTCACATGAGGTGATGTAACTATCAAAAACTTATTCTGATAGTAAATGCTTAAACCGCTTCTTTAATTACTAACTTTCAATTGGTTTGATTTACTAAACTGTAATTTCATTCACTTTCTGCAATCTTAAGTTTTGCTGGTAGATTGATACCTTTTTTTAAATGTCAGTTTATTTGGGACGCTACACTAGTAGCCAGATTTACTGGGCAGTCGTTGTTCACCAAATCAGTATAATCAATTGACGAAATATACCCATTTATTCATTAACAAGAACAAGGCATGTATCAGCGAAGAAATATTTCTTTTCAACGACTTCATTATCAAGCTGTACAGTCGTATTTATACTGAGGAAAGTGAACAGATGATTGCACTAAAAAGTTGTTCAGTCAATATGCAAAATACACAATCAATTGATACACATTTACAGTTATTTTTCGATTGAAATACTATAATTTTATGCCATAAATTTACTGGAGATGCTAGTATAACTCAACTCAGGAGAATATTGGTATCTGTCAAATTCCTGTTCCAAAATATTTGACGGGTTTACCACTCTAACTTTAATCTTCATTACAGTAACAATTTCAGATCTTTCTGGTTTTAGTTATCATGGATCAATCGGAATTTCAGATTCTTTATTCAGATAGAAATAATTATTAATTTCAATAATACCTGAACCTTCATTTCATCTAACTAGTGACTACTTCACCATTATTTTGCCAATTTTTCAATGCTAACTTATAATCTTTAGTTAAAGACTTTGATTATTGAAATGAAGTCATGTAATGCTAGTTTGGGATGTCAATCAACTTAAGTTTAATAAGTATTTATCGCACAGTTGTGAACGGTCATTTCAGCCGCTGTTAACAAAACATGAATCCACATTGTTTTACAGTCATTTGACCTAAACTTAGGATTATTTCTAGATGGAGGTGAGGTCCAGCTGAAGATGGACTGAATAAACAACTTTTCGTTTGTATGTCGAATTAGTCATAGGTTTGGAGAGATAATTCAGTTTATTACATCACAGTAGACTACAAGAAGTATTTTGGTTTTTGCGTTCTGTTGGTTGGATAGTTTCATCGTGAAGCTTCTATCGTCTTTCCGGACAGTATTATCAGCACTAACTTCAGTATGAAGTGAGATATCAGGATTTCTCCATAAGTGATTGATTAGCCTGTCATGATGAGGTAGTGTGTGATTGTCAGTTTACTTGATTGTTTTGTCACTGACTGTACGGAATTTCCGGCTGGTTGTCACTCCGTGTGACCTTTCATATGTTATTTCTTCATCACGTTTCCTATTAGTTGGTAGATTGAGTTATTGTTTATACCCCACTTGATCTCTGATTGATCTAGGTGCCAAGCTTTTAGAAACTCTGTGCTTCTTCTCTCCAGAGTCCCAAAATTTTCGAAATCAAGTTAATAGTTACGACTGTCAACATGTATTAATACAAATAATGAAATGCTATGAAGCTTTATTGCCAACTGATGTTTACATAGAAGAACACAGAGGGTGACCAATGTGTACAATGTAGTGTTTATCATATCTTTTCATTTGGGTTTTTATGTGACATTCGGTTTGTCTTTATTCCTCTGTCGCATTTTCTGGTCTGCAAAATATAGCCGACGGAGAATTTGTGGGTTCACTGGTGATGCCAGTTCCAGGCTCTCATAATAGTCTTTCATGATCTGTGATATATCCTTTATGTATGGTTTGTATGGTGATGAATGCGGTAAATATCTTCTGATAGAGATACATGGTTAGGTCTTCTTCTTTAGGGTAGTCATCAAACAATTTCTTTCTCTTCTCCGTGAGGTGGTTGCACTGTAGCATGTTTCTTCTCTTTTGAATAAAGACTTTAAACAACTAATTTTACGCCTGGGTGGCTGCTATAGTTGGGGTGTGGTCCATGTGTGTTAGCTTCCAATAAACTTGTGTCTCCAATTTTCTTCTGTTAGTTTTACTGATTAAAACGTCTAAGGATAAAAATCTTCTGTTTGATTTCTCCTCTGTGGTGGATTTTACTTCGTTGAAAACATTCTTGATCAAGTTTTGAATACTTCTCAGTTTGCCCCTTTTAATGAAAGTGAAACTATCATCTACACAATGGATCAAAATGCTTTGTCTAATCACTGGTAAAACAATGGATTCAAGTCTATGCGTTGTTAATTCTCCGGTCGACTTGGATATCGGTTATTCCATTGGAGTTACTTCCATCTGTTTATAAATTTTGCCACCGAACTGGATATAGGTAGCTAAAAAAAATCAGTTTAGTCAGATTTGAAGACTTTCGTCCTCTGTGTTACGAAAGCCTTGTGTCTTCATGTGTATAATGCTGTGACATCAAAGGATATCATTCATTATGACAGATATACGCGATTTCATTGATAAATATAAGTAAAGCCGTCAGTGATTGAAAAGAAACTAAAACCAGCTCGGTTATAGAATTTTTTGGTTCATTAGGTTGAGCTGTAGGCTGGTAACTCATAAGCTTATCGTTTATATTCCACCGCATTCAAGGTTTTTTTCTACTTCAGTCGTCACAGAACAATTCCGTTCCCTGAAATAATGAGGTTAGCTCAGAAAGTTAAGTGTTGAGGTTGCCTCGATCTGGCAAGGCAGCACTTCTGGTAAGCGTCAGCAGTCTGTTACTACTCATGTCAGTAAAAAGTATATATTGAGCAGCTTTTAATCATCTTCTTATATTAGGTACCTAATTATTTTACTATAAATAATTTACTGAATATTCTCTCACCATAACAAATGATATCAGTTGAAGGGATGAAGTCAAAAACTGATTCACTGAATATCAAATTGATCTATTTGCGTTTTACGATTTTTTTCTTACCTTTCATTTTGAAATAAAGGATCTCCCATCCACTGGTCCAGGTGATCGTAACATACAACAGCGCTTGAGCGGCCGGCAATTAATTTTGCCAAATGTTGACTATGGTGTCATAACTCGTTACATTTGTACTGCTAAAAATAAAGCTGGTGAAATTAAACGAATATTTGATCCAACCTTAGTATGTAAGTTTCATCACGTTTGACTTTGATTTCTACACACTTATTGTTCAATAGTGTCAATATGAGGAAATAATTCTATTTTCAAATTAACCATACCATCTCCACTTGTTGTGAATCTACCGTGAGGTTTACTCTTAATTTTATTGTCAAATTGCAAAATGACAGGTTGAAAGTCATTTAAAAATATGCGAGAGTGAATAACACGATATAAAGGTATATTTGAATGAATAAAACAAGTTCATAAGACGGTTAAAGTAATGTACAACCTCGTATGAAAGTAGATCGATTCAACTTGCTCAGCTTTAAAATTACAGAAGGAGAAAATCAGTATAAGTAGGGAAACATTAGAAAAAGGTATAAATTAAAGGTAAGGAGCGAAGGGTTTTTGATCTTAAATACTTCTTAGTTAATTGCTGAAGGATCTTACATTTTTCAGATATAGTTTCAGAAGTTTTATCAATTGAAGAACCAAGATTTGTATAAGGCCAGGATTAATGGTCAGACGCTGAACTTGCAGCATAGGTTTACACATTGTTACACTTAGATTTGGTTATTTATATTTAAATGAAAACTATGGATTTTCATCATGGTATTCAACAAAAAATGTTTAGAATAAGAACTTGTCGTAAACTGAAGCAACGATTTTTCCTCAGTGGCTGGAAAGCGCTCACGATAGACACTAAGGTAAAACAGTAAGACGCAGTTAATCTAATTAGTAACTGTTTGGTTATAGTTGTCTAGTTCAGAAATCATTGCAGATATTCAGAAAGGTATCCGGCCTGGATTTAGACAGTTGAAACTTCCCTGTTGTTTAAATTAAAAATATTTGGATGCATAACTGACCATTTTTATTTCGAGAGAGCAAAAAAGCTTTCCTTTTGTTAAATTATCATAACATTATAACCAATAGTTACTACGTCATGTGATTAACTGTTGAATGGTCATTACTACATACAACAGTCGTAGCAACTGAACACCTTTAATCGCTTTGTGATTTATTGTTTACTCATCATAAATAAACCTAATATCCTATATTTTAATTACTTTTTTACTTTAGTGTATTGTGCAATTGTAAATGAATATTTGTCTTTTATTAGATTCACCGGTTATTATTGGACCAGAGGGGAAGAATCCCAGACAAGTCTTGCAGAACTCAAGTGCACGTTTGATTTGTGACTGGGAAGCATCACCGAGAGCTAGAGTGGAATGGTTCAAAGATGGTGAATTAATTACTGTAGATACATTTCCGAATGCTAACATTTCCGTTGGAGATACACAGGTAAGAAAAAAGTGAAGTAAAATTGTCAAATATTCATAACATAATCATACATTTTATAATTGACAGCTCAGTCGACAGAGAACTGAACCAGTAATCTGGATGTCACTGGTTCGAAGATTACTATGACCTACTTTTCCACCTTACCTTTATCATATGCATATCCGCAGACACTCAACTAAGTAAAGAGGTTGCTTTCTAACATTACTTCATTTTATGGAAGCCGCATTTCCACAGAAAAAATTGTCAAAGTAATCAAGCATTAATGCAGTTGAAAGGACAAATTATTTTCATTGTATACTTAAGTAGGCAACGAAGTACCATGAATTCTTCATATTCTGCAAAACGTTGTTCTTACTTTACTAAGATTTTGTTAAGGGAACCGATTGTATGAAATAAATATTTAACCAAATGAATAACAAAGTCAAAGGTTATAACATTCTTAGGCAAATCTATACACACGAATGCCTCAAGGTGGGTATCGATGAATATGAAATATGCAAAGTGAATGTGTAATTTAATTCATGCGGGAATTTGTTTCATTAAAGAAATAATGAGATCTTTCATATCAAGTGCGTTTGGATTGAAAATTATGGGGAACTATGTAACAATTTCCCTTTCTTTGTGTTTGCGAAATTGCAGTTTAGCAATTCAGATATTCTCAACATCACTTCTATGGTTATTAATGATTGCGTAAACATCCATCGCGTATATATGCATTGCTTTTGTAAAAGAAACATAAAAATAAGTATAGTTTACAACATGACTTGTTGGCTATTATATTACTTATCCACTTTACTATTGATGTTTGTAGTGTGAATTATCTCTCAAAGAGCTGAACTAGTGCACGTGCACCACTGACGGAATTTCCTGCAAGTTACCGTATTGTTTATCAGTCGTTCAGATCACCTTCGTCTGACTATCAAGTTTTGTTTGGCCCACCTGTTTCTATCTACTTATTTTCATAGTTCGTATGAAAAAGTCCAATCACCTAATTCTAGAGGTTATTCTTAGTATTCAGCAGATCACTAGTCAAGGACTGAGCACACTAAATTTCAAAAGGAAACCACACTTAAATATCCCGATAACGAGACATTTAGTTGTATCACTCTCGTTAGGGACTCGAACCCTTCTTAGTACGTGTTTCGATGACTACTACAGGTTCTATTCCGCAGCTGGATAACTTCTATGCGGTTGCAGAAGATGGGGAAATTATCATTCCATATTTTGGGGATTCTATCATTATACGCATATTTTTACTATAAACTTCTGTGTCAAGTTCAGTTTACCTAAATTTCTCCCTTTAAACTTCATGATAATTAAATTCAGTTTTCACTGAATAGAAATCTGATCATTACAATAGACTGCCAGTTTGTCTTAGAATATTTTTTAGCTGAACATCAGGAAATTCACAATCAACAGTCCTCTGGCAAACCAAGTAGTTGAGTTTTAATAAATAGTTGAGTTGGTCTGATATATAAAAGATAAGACTTATTAGGTCTAAGTAACTCGCTTTAAAAAAAGGAAGAGTAGCAGTTGGTAAATAAGTTGAATTCTTTTTCTGTGTGTGGTTTGACAGATTACCACAATGGTATATGTTGATCAAGTTGATGATGTACACCTACTTCATGAGATAAACAAACAGAGCACAGACAAATAAACAAAATCAGCGTCGTACAAAATGCCTCTGGTTCAAGTTGCCACACTTCATGAAAGAATCGAAATAAACAGGTGGGTAGGAGTGTTGCCACGACTCATTGTCTTACTGATGCATCGTGAGCGAATAACTTTTATACTGTATTTTACAGATAAAATTTAGTCGATTGTGCTGTTTAAAAATTTGCAGTGAACTTCAATCCCTTAAGATATCAGTAAATGAACTCTAGCCTTTAAGGATATACTTTCCTGTAAGTCTAAGACCTATAGTCAGTGATTCCTTCAAGCAGTAAAAATTCCCTAATCTGACTAGCTAAATTAACCTCACTGTAGGTTCTGGAGAAAGAATTACGTAGTACTTTTCATTACCTCATCCAATACTCAAGCCTATATTAAATTAGTCCTTCAAATGATTGAAAGTAAACATGGATGGTTTTTTATACAATTATTCCTGCAGCTTTATCTTACCGATGTGCAAACTTCGGACGCTGGAAATTATCGTTGTGTAGTAAGCAATGAATACGGTGTAGCTAAACGTCAATGGCTTGTACAAGTAATGTGTAAGTTAGTTTTTTTCTCACTTCCTTGTGTTTACATCAAAATGAAATATAAATGTACAATTTTTGGTTCTAATAAAATATTTATCCAGTTGATTTTGTAACGGTATTTATGAGAAAAAAAGGATAATGAATATGAGACTATCTGGAAGGTATTACATTAATTTTCAAAACTAAACCTGAAAATAAATAAATCCTACAAACGTTTTAGAACATAAATCTAAGCATTTAATCACATTTTAATTGACATTTTCGTTCAACAACATATTTACTTCAAAAATTTACTCAAATCAGCTGCGAAAATAATTAGATAAGCAGAAAATCTTCTTTAGACAAACCATGTGCTTTATTTTCGTGTTTATGTCATGTACCTTATTCGTGCTATCTACCTATTTTTGTTACGTGAGTGTAACTTATTGTAAGGAAACAGCTGATAAACTTTGGACATCTGCTTTGTACACCATACAAACATCAGGAATAAACACCTTTAAAAAGATTTCTACCGGGAAGAAAATATGTAAGTTATTCGATGGCCTGCCTGAAATTCGTAAGCTCAATATATATCTGCATCTCAGTAAATGATATTCGCTGTGATAATTAAACACAGCACCGGTCATAATAAACACAGACAATATCGAAGAATCCGTTCAAGGAATTAACGTACTCACAGAGACTAAGCATCATGATTCAGTAAGATAATTAGCGAGAAATTAAAAGTACCAATAAATAGGAAGAAAAAAATTGCCCAATGCTCTTATCCATTTGTAGTTATTATAATTGTTATCCTGAGATGAAAACAAATCCTAAGGACTAAAAAACAGGTGATAAGAAATTCTCTTGTTTTTAATTAAACTGGAACTTCAATAAGTTCTAATGTGAAACCATAACCTATGCGCTCGACCGAGTCAGAACTAAGGACTAATATTCAGTAATAACACTGAACGATGGTTGTGCTGTCTTAGAAGGTAACCAAAGTCAAAAAAATTTCACTGTTTGAGTTCAACCCAATAAATGAATGATAACGTACTCACCATTATAGTTGGCAGTCCTAAATTTGGTCTTAATTGGGTTGTAGAAATTTACAACTGTAGGATTACACTCTTGGGTAAAATAACTGTTTAGTACCCCTGACTCTCAACTTCTTTAACTACTTTTGTTGTTAGACTTTCTGACTTCTGTTAAATAAACCAGGATAAGCCATAACCATAAACATAATATTAGATATTCAGGTATGTCTAAACTGGAAACCTTAATTTATTCATTTGTTTATACATTGTATGATTCACCATTAAAATATTACCGATGAGCTCAAAGAACAAAAACTAACAAGGAAGAACTTTTTCTTTTGGATGATTTCATTTATTAATGCTGAAAAACCGTAGTTATGTAAACTATAAAACGAATGACATTATTATTCATCGACAGGTTAAAGTGATTACCATAGTGCTCAAAAGTGAAATATAAAAGTTGTTTCTAAAGAGAGAAGTAAATTAATGATCTCATTATGGTAAAGATAATCAGTGGATGTAGTGATTTTAAACATGAAGACCGGGTTTAAGGTTGTGAATTGGAAGTGATTCTGCTATGTCTATATAACCCAGTTGAAGTCGTTTTGCATTGTAGGAGGGCATCCTTATCTACTCGGAAGCGTGGGATGTCCATAGATGACAAGTTATTCAAAAACCGAAACACTGGTATTTCTATTCTCTCCTCTGAATAATGTGACTGAATAATCTTCGAAAATACATTTATGGACTCGATGCTGAGGATGGAAAACGTTTATTTCTCCACAAGAGCAATTATATTAATACATACACCTTAAGGTGGCCAAAAGTGGTACACTTTCCTAATGCATTCAGATACTAGTTGTCTTCCGGAGTTTGTGTTGCACAGATCAGCTGTTTGATAAGCCTTCCTAAAAGATCTTATGAGGCTTTAGTAAATGAAAACGTCTAAAAGAAAATTTTCTTCACTGTTACGTCTTTGTTTTATCCTGAGATATTCTTTTATTATTATATAATTATTTGTCCCTTGGGTTCCTAGTGGAACATACGGCTTCAGGAGCACGTCTCCATTGCACTCTCTTCTCTACAGTCTGCTCAACCTCACTCCACGACTGCCCACCACCTTCCATTTCTTCTTCACACCATCTCCTCCATGTCACCGTCATCTGGGACACCAAACTCGTCGTTCCCCATTTGGATTTCACTCGAGGGCCTGACTTGGTGCAAGATGTCCCCAGTTGGCCTTCTTAGTGTATGCCCAACCCAATCGATCTCTACTTTCTTCTGCATATTTGTTGTGTGATAATTTCTTGGTTGGTTGGTTCGTTGCCAACCAGCCAACCAGAGTGAGTTGCTTGTTGCTGATTCTTATTATTCTGGCAATCCATCTCATCTATAGTATCAGTATCGAGTGAGCGTAGGCGGCAGCTGTTGATGACGTAGTCTGTAGTTTGTTGGAAATGCTCTTCGTGACGTGCCAAGTTTCTGACTTGACATTGGTGTTGAAAATCCGGATCTTGTTCTTTCTGTTGAGTACAGTAGATCTCCACAGTGATTTCAGATTAATGAAAGCCGGTCTGGCTTTTTTTGCGATCCTGGTTTTGACATCTTCGTCTGAGCCCCCCTGTAGTTGAAACGATGCTGCGTCGCCAAAGTAGGTGAAAGAGAAAACTTCCTTTAGATTTCTCCCGTTGATGCTGATTAGTGCCTCTTGTTATTGTTCGTTGCTTGAGTATCTTCATCACCTCTGTCTCCTCGACATTCACTTGAAGTACTGTTTTCTCTGCCTCTTCTATCGACTTGTTAGTTTTCGCCTGTAGATCTTCGAGTTTGTGCGACGAGACATTAGACATAAATCATCATCGGCGGCGAAATCCAAATCTTCCTCTGGAGTCTTCTCCTCGGTCCAGGCAATGTATGCTCATCTTCTCGCTCCTCACGGTTTGCTGCATGATCCAGTCGACCACAATCAAGAAGATGATAGGCGATAGTAGGCAGCCTTGTCTTACTCCTGTCTTCAATTCAAAGGCGCCAACGAGCTTTCCATTGTGAATCACCCGGCATGTGACATCTTCATATAGCTGCTGAATGAGGTTTCCAACCATAACGTAAGAGAAAATAAACTCTTATGCAGCACACTCGGTTAAGCACTGACAAATCATGACGACGCTTCGAGTGGCTTGATTCAGTGCAGTCTAAAGGATTCGTTAAATACTTCTGAACTTTCACCTGTTATTACCCTCATCAGGTCGGATGTGACCTCTCAATAACCAATACACTCAGCCACTTCACTTCTCATTTTTATATGGATATTGGCGCAACTTCTGAGATGAAAATACATCTCAAGCATTGTTAGACTGTCACTCAGAAAGAATCGAATTTTCTTCATCTTCGCATCTTTATATTGCAGATCCATTCGAAAATCTCTCATAAAGAAATTAGTTTCTCTAAAATCTTCTGAAAAATGAGTAAGCTTGCCAAGGAAGTCTGCATTAAAGTCAAATAAAATATAAGAATTTGATTGCTCAGCATGGAAGCTGTTCTTCATAAACATTTCACTACATGGCATATCGTAAGTTAAAAAGCGTACTGACAAGAAGTATAAAATCTAAGAATGACCTGTGTTCTCCCAATAGTTATATACGTCAGTATAACTGTTTCAACATTCCTGCCGGTAAAATTTAGTTGGTATTCTTTAACGAAAGAAAAATTCTCATACCAATGGATATTTCCAAAGCCATCAACAAATGATTATAAACCGTTAATTTTTGAACATAATTCGACTAGACAACAAACCTTGATCGTTGTCACCGCCTCTTTCTGTTTTCAAGGAACCGAGAGATCATGAAGCGTGAAGTCTAAGGTTATTGTTATATATATACATATATATATATATATATATATATATATATATATATATATATATATATATATATATATATAACGCCACAATGTTGCAGAAGTCCGAAAAAGCAGCACGACGAGATGGAATTCATCCAGAAGCATTAAAAAAAGACACAGATACATCAGTGGACATGCTCACACCACGATTCCAGAACGCTTGCAATGAAGGAAGGAAAGGCACCCTAAGATTGATTGGAGGTAAGCTTACCTTGGCAAACTCCTAACAAGGGAGACCTAAGCTGAGTCTTTGCACGAACTGACACAGAATCATGCTCCTGTACACACAAAGCAGAATATTATGCTGCAACATCCCAGAGAGACTAGAAGATGACCTGCATTCAAAATTACGACTGGAACTGGCTGGCTGGCTGGCTGGTTGGTTGGTTGGATTCACGAAAAACAAATCGTCTGCAGACCTAATTGCAAAGCTACGCTAAGCATCATCACAGAACACAGCATAGAATGGCACTCCACTCAACTCAACTCAGACTCAACCGCAACCGCAACCTCAACCTCAATCCCATGGACTTTGAAAAGGCCTTCGACTAAGGCGTCAACCGAGAACTACTTTCACAGGCAACTGATTCAACACTACGGTTTTAGTCAGTGCCACAAACCTTTACCAACCTCATTCAAAAACAGCTATATGCTGTATGAAGACACAACATGCCATGTGATTCACAATGCAAAGCTCAGTGATACACTTGAAGTGAAGACAGGGGAGAGGAGTAAGACAATGTGTTCCCCACCTACTATCACCAATCATCTTCCTGATTGTGGCTCGCTCCACTCCACTCGACTCAACTCAACTCAACTGGACTGGACTGGATTGAACTGGATGATGTAAGAGACAAATGTGAGGAGCTGTGAGAAGATGGGTATACACTGGTCGGACTGATGAAAAGATACAAGAAGAAGATTTGGATTTCGCCACCGATCATGATTTATGTCTAATGTCTTGTTGCACAAGCTCGAAGATCTACAGGTGAAAAGTAAGAAGTTGGCAGAAGAGGCGAGATAGAGCAGCGAAGACGGGACTGACTTCAAGTGAAGTTAGAGAAGACAGAGGTGATGAAGATGCCCAACAGACAAAAC